CTATCATAACAGTTACGTCAAGGCGGTTTGCAACTGAATATCTGTGGCAAAGTCAGTGAGCCATAAACACAATCGCAGATCTCAAAAACCACTAAATCCACTCAGTTCATAAGGTGAATGTTATTAGACGCTTCATTGCTAATCATCATAACTACGTAAAGCATGTGAAGATTCATATGAAGTGGGGTTCGTGGTATGTTCTGGGCGGTTTTTACCAGATGATACTCGCTAAAATCAAGTACCTTTGATTTGAGATGCGAAAATAATACAAGACGCAAATGCACGCCCGATGTTCACAATGTTAAAAAATAAAAGAGATTTGGGGTCCCACGCTAGGTCCTTGAATAGAGCATAATTATAGATTGGAGCAAGAAACGGGCGAAGGCACAAAAGAGCGATTGATGCTTGAATATAATAGCAGGTTAGAAAAGTTAGAGCCACCACTCTACGTGTGGTTTTCTCAAACCTGTCCCAATATCGGGGACAATCGAGGGAAATTCACAATAAAATCCAATTCGGGAGTTGGAGAGAGAAATTTTAACAATAAAACCATCGGCGGATATGCACAACCTTCTTTATTAGACTGCTAAGAAGAATTAGTCAACTCAGTTTTTGTAAGACTTCGATTGTCACTAATAAAAGTTTGAAATTCTGAATTCACGAGAATTTCCTACACCGGAAAATTTTAAATCAAGACGCCGACTCCGAGTCGCGTGATGGTACGCAAATCCCTAATTTCCGTTACTGGTACATACTTCTTGCTCACGTCAAAAGATCGAGTAACGACAGCGAAAGCACCAATTACTAGCACTTACTGCGATTTCCGGAATAATAAATATTTTCCGCAATCGAAAAGCAAATACACTGCAAATTGTAATTCTCTCCGAATAAGGATTTAAGCAATCTCATGTCCGTAAAATTTCAGTAAGTCATAGCAAAATTCATTTATGTTGATCAATTGTGATTATGATTATGTCTTAACTACACATACGTAAAATGTAATTATATTTCTGAAATGCAGCTTAATAACTGTGAATTTTGGTTGATTTTACAGTTTTTTTGAAAGATGTTTTACTCGGGGTCGAGCAACAGAAGCTATAACGGAAACATTTCCTTGCTTCCCGTAGTAACTCGACATAAATTTAGTTGGCGACGCTGATTAGTAATCGGCCATAGAAAAAACGCCTTTGTATGAGAATATCTACACGAGGACTTGGTAGGTATCGATCACACGAATTCGGGAAATTAAGAAGTTTAAGAAATTAAGTTGTGTTTCCGCAAATTAGTTGGGCGAAAGTGTGTGGTAGGAAGGAGTGATAAGTAGGAGGGCATTAGCAGTGTGTGTATTCATATAAGATTGCAAGTCTGTAATACAGCGTTTTATAAACATGGCGGGGGAGAAATGAGATATCTAAAGTAAAAAAGGGGAGATATAATCGAAGAAATGGGGAAACCACTCCTTAAAATGGATTAGCATTCTGTTCAATTTTCTGTGCCATTCTATTGTTTCGCAGCGCGATGTTGTGCGCGTAACAATTATTCGCACAAAATTATTATAATTTGCCAAAATTTTCATATTAAATTTAGATAGATTATAGTTTTCACGCCAAAGAGTTGTTTTAAACCATACAACGAAAGTATTCGATTTTTAATTTCATATTTAAGAAAAGTTAAATTTGAAAATTCAAATTTATATCTGAGATTTTTATAAACTGATGGTAGCAAAATACTAGTACCTTGTAAGAAGTCACTCAGACTTAGATGATTGATAATTACACAAAAATGACAGTTCGATTAACCGATTTTTACTGAAGTATGGATTCTAGGTTTTGGCAGAATATCGATGGGTTCACGACAAAGGAGCGAATGCGAAAATCCCGCGAATAATTATTTCGAAAATATTACAAAAAGTGATTTTTAATCTGGTAGCTGAATATAGTTTGAAGCAATATTCGCCAAAGTATTCCAATAAACCGTTACAAAAGTACAAAAATAAGAAAATACGTTCGTCTCATTTTCTCGGAACCAATTTTTCGAGTTTCGACATTTTTGGTTATAGCTCTCGATATAAAAAGATAAGATGAGCCGAACGGGTTGGATACCAGAGTAGAAGTTGTAAGAGCGCTTGTGGTCAGCGGAGCAAACCGTAGAACTAATTCAAACTTAATATGTAAGCCTGACACGACATATAGCTACAGTTCACAAAAGGTTTAAGAATTAATATGTTATTTCTCGTGGGGTATTAATTAAAACTTCAGTTTTTTAAATTTTTTGTAGTTTTTTGTTATTAATGGAAGTCAATTTCTTGAATACATTTTCTGCGAGATGGAACTATTTTATGAGTTTGTTTTTGGAAGGAATGTGGTAACGTATGTGTATCTATGACATTTATTGCTATGTAAACTAACCATTGCTTTCAGGTATTAAATGACAGTGTGAGACGCACGCACGCTGGACAATAGCCATAGGAGAAGAGAACAAAGGGACATTGTTTTTTGTAGATATACTAAATTTTCGTAAAATTACGGTCTAAATAGCAAGTTATTTTATTTTGAAAATACCACAAAACACGTGGAATTACTATTCGTTTTCCAAATGCAAAATGCAACCGAAATTGCTTCTTTATCTTACAATTAGAATACGCAAAATAATTGTCAAGGATAATTTTGCTTTCCTTAGCGATTTTGGGGATCAGAAACTAAAAAAGTCTATGCGTCTGTAACGGCCTCTTCTCTCAGCGATAAACATGAAAAAATACCCAATTATAAGTGGTAGCAACTACTGAATACACATGAAAAAACACTTTAATAATGTTTTAAGTGTGATCTGTCCATATCCCGTGTACTAAACAGCGTCGTATAGACTCTATAAACAACACCGAAACTCAAAAAAGTCTGTTTATTCTGGCAGTCCTCAAGTAAATAGAAAAATGTCACATGTTTGCTCAAGGCCGTTGAGTGTTTTGTCCGATATCGCTCAATATCTTTCTAGTTTGGGAAATGAACAGCTTTGTACTTTAGTGAGTTAGACAGATAAAAGCAGAAATCCGGTTTGTGAGGTCAGTAAGTTTAGTGCGTTTGCTAATCTGCGATTTATCTGGAGCATTTGACAGTGAGTGAGTAAAGATGTTCACTGATACGACATGTACCCTATGTACAATTAAGAGCGCTCCAGAAGTATGTGTACCAATATTGAGGCGACTAATTTTGTTCGCCTACTTTGCATCAAGTTGTGTAAAGGGACTGAAACCTATGAGCAGAGGGTATATTCACTTTGCAAACACAGACAGTCCCCGAATTCATAAAAAAAAACTAAAACAAGGAAAATCGGAGTAAATTTATGGCGGCCTAACCCAAACCTGGTACACATACTACGGGAGTACCCGAATAAGCAAGGATAAGTGATACTGAAAATTAAAGTTTGAGTCTTGACTTTCATAAGAGGAACCAGCAAGAGGTGTTTAAAAGGTTAAAAAACACATGAGTGAAAACCAGACTTTCTAAGCTTTCTAATGCACATTTGATAATCCATCATAAGCAACTAATTCGGTAATGGAATTATCTTTTAGTATCTGAGCTCTGCAAACATTCGTATAGCAAAGTGAGAAGAAAATTGTCTGTTTTGAGGAAAAAATACGATTTGAGAATCGGTAGGAAATATGGGTCTGAATCCCAGTTATATGTCGGATATTTGGTAGGAGCATAACTAATTGTACGTCAGTCATTTCCACCGCGTCTACATAATGTAGTCCTTGGGTATCAGGGACTGCTTATAATTTGCCTTGTTCAAAGTTAGAGACATGAAAAAGCGACGTAAATAAATAAAAATTGCAGCCGTTTTATAATACCACCGTGCATAATTGTCAAATATGAGGCCATTTCTCGATATCCTATTAAATTTGAAACAAAATCCGTAACATGTCATTGTCTATGAGGAATGACACCATGTAATGAGGAGGTTATATCCGCCATAATATATGCATGATAGAATGCAAGGAAGGAAGACATTGTTTTGAAAAGGCCAAGAAGCAGAAGCGTGGGCTCTTAAATGCATTACATTCAAATTATGATCGTCTGGTCAAAACGCTGAGGATGTACATGATAGTAGGCAGCTTCGAACGACTGGAAATATCACAAGTGTTGAAATAGAGAGGATTACTCAATTTGAGTCGTTTTTACAAGACTTCAACTGATTTGTATGCGCCTGTAAATTGTCACAAAATATACGTAGATTCTAGAACAGGCGCAAGGGCGAGGTTTTTGGACCAGGTGTCGAAAATTTTGCCCACATAGGCTGGCGGGCCATGTGAGTGTAACGTAAAAAGTTTTCTTTATGAACAATATTTACACTGTTACAAAAGCAAAAGTGGAAAAAAATAAGCCTCATGCCAAAACAAAATTCAATCGCAATTTCAACAAACTGCTTGAGCTATTTTTAGCTGAAACATCAAAACTTGGTTTCGTTTGGTTGTGCCAGCATCAGGCGGGCCAAATTGATTTACTCAACCGGCCGCATTTGGCCGGCGGGCCATAGTTTGTCCATGTCAGTTCTAGAACCTTATTCGAAATGAGGATGTAAAAATTCAAATCGGGATAATTCAGAAAATTGACTCATTCAAACTAAAATCTTTTAGTATGCGACCCGAATTGTTTTCGGTGAAAGTATATTCATACTGTAAAAACGTTTTATGTACAATGAAAGGATTTGTGAACCTAAGAATAAAGCTCACGAAATTATATCATTTATTTTATTTTATTTGGGATTGGTCGAAAATAGATCACACCGAGTTGCGAGTGCTAACAATTCAGTATGGAGATGGATATATGGTTCCAACAGTGCATTCGAAAGGCCTCATTCGCAGGGGACTATTGGGATGTGATATAGAGAGCAAGTTAGAAATAGGGATGGATATATAATACCAATCGCCATTTTAATGTCCCCCTTCTTGGAAGAGTATTGGGCCGCCATCTTGATAACACATTAAAAAAAAACGGTTGGTATACGATCACGACCGCCAATCGAATTCTCTTTTGTCGGGGGGTATTAGCTGCCATATAAACAGCGGGTTAGCAATGCAGGCGCGATTTAGACAGCCTTCTGCGTAGAGGATTATTGGTCTGTCACATGTACATCGGATTAAGAATATGTATGAGTTTGTGCCTTAATCGCTATATTTGAATACCCTCCTTCATAGCAAATTATTGGGCTTCCGAGTAGACAGGGGGTTAGTTCAGGGGTTAATACAGGCTCGCAATCGTCCTATTTGAATGGCGTCCTCCGTAAGCATTATTGGAATATCATACAGACATCACATTAGGAATATAGGCATGGACAAAAGGTTACAATCATCGTTCTAATGTTCTCATCCTTAGAGGGCGAGTTACGTATTATTGCTTCGATAGAGAGGCCAAGCAATCTTCCAGACAGAAGCGAGGTATTGCTTGTACCGGATTCTGTTACAATCAACTTACATCCGGTACTCCAGCCACCTAATTACACATGATTGCGAATTTAGGGATTTTAATTAAATGCACCATTTGAGCATAGGGACTACAGAGACATTTAGAACCCTTGCATTGATCTTGTTTTACAATGTATACACACAGAGATCAATTCAGTTCAAAACGAGATTTTTATCAAATTCTTGCTGTAATAAGAACTCAAAAAAATGGCTGTCATTTTTCAGTCATTTAATTTATTTTCGGGGCTTAAAAGAAAGTAAATATTCATCGTTAGTGATGTCCCTTTGCTATAAATGATGGGAGAGATCTCAAAAGCAACAAATTACATAAACACTTACTTTTTTAAATTACTTGAAAATGTTACTAAAATGCTGATATTTCACACTGTTTTTACATAAACGGAAATGGAGAATCTAAACGTCTTAAGAAGCTTTTTTTTAACGCTCATTGCAATTTCAGACATTAGTTTCAGTCTACACATATTGTACGGTGCAAAATTGAATCCGGTCGATAAAGTTGTACAATATGGAAGCTACGAGATAAGAACGGAATTTTTGCACTTTGAAGAACTATATACAACGAAGAGCTAATCGGTAAGTCTTATATTTTATCCTAACACCAGTAGTATAACGCAAACAACGTAATCATAGCTAACACACTCACATTACCAAGTCCATGCATCTGAAATAAATAACTGGTCACCTAATCCCACACGGGACATGGAACCCGACGAAAGGCCGTGATACGTCATGTGATTAAGTCGTCTTATCGGCTTTCCCATCCCCCGGGACAAATATGTGAGGATAACACCCTAACCGTCCTATATGCGTTTGCGTTAGTTGGTCGGTATGTGTATATTGCAAGAATGAATAATTATGACTATACCATGCAATTCAAGAGTCTTGCTGAACGGTTCGTTTGCAAAACCAAATAAATGCCACTCAAAGATAATATTATTCAACAAGACGACGATATAAAACATCGCACAAATAGGTACAAATATGAATCGCCATTAACGTAAAATTGATAAAAAAGAAAAGCATTCTCGCGTAATATCCAACGCTTTATAAAAATTGGAATCAAAACTCCCCGAATTGCAAAATGCTGTGAATAAGCAATAACCAGTCAACTTTGATTTATGAAATTATGATTATTCACTTCAATTCATATTGCGACTTGAATCATTTCAGTGGTGACAAATATATTAAAAAACACCAAAAAATAATGTAAATTTTCGCGTGAATTCGATTACGTCGCATGAATATGTTTTAAACGGACATGCTTGAAACGTACAAAAAGATGGTAATGTTTTGCCTATTTCCATTAGTGTCAGTGACGCGACCAGTCATATCGGGATTGACTTCTGTCAGGAAACACTTAGACAGTCATGAGGCGTTATCACTAGTGCAACGCTGTTGGAAAATTGAAGTTGCTAGCTCAGCAATGAAAAAGCTTTTGGGATATGCAAATTAGTGCGTTTAAGTTAGAGGTTGTAGAGAAAGCAACCTGCTCATACACAGCTTAACCGCGTTTGGTATAGTATGTGTTATATTTCAAAATGTTCTAGTCGAGAGACTTTTTGTCAATACAAATTCGGTATTTAGAGATACCATCACGGTTAAACTATTAGATAAGGCTTGCAGCCTCTAAAATGTTTTCATGAAGAAATTTCCCCCGAGTCGGTACTTTTAATTAATGTAGAACTATACGAATGAGAGATTAATATTATGGTCCTAATCACCACTTGAATGGCTTCCTTCGTATGGAATATTGGTCTGTCATATAGACAGTAGGTTAGGAATAGAGACGGATACAGGGTCTCAGCCGTCTACGTCGTAGAAGGTTATAGGGGTGCCATATTATAGTAAGTGTGTTTGATTATTAGGCTAGCTACGCAAGTCGAGTACATTGTATATACCGTCGCCGCCATAATAAACAGCTAGGATGACACGCTCTCATTCCGTGTTATTAAAAATCAATCCGGGCTAAAAATTGACATTTTCAATCTACATATTATTTTCATTCAAACGGACATTGTTTGCGTCACTAGCATTGTTGATCTATGTATGACGTCATCGAAGTCAGGACCCCGTTCATTAGAAAGGATTAGAACAGAAAGGACAAAGGTGAAGTTCCTATATAGTCATACAGTGTAGGATTATATATATGAATATAATCTGAAGACGAGATGAATTATATTAAATAGGTTAAGATTTAAATGCCGGGAGAGACGAAATTTTCATTTTTCTATTCCGTAGGTGAGAACAATGTATCTCTTGGAGAAAAAAATCGTTTTCCCCGTTATTTGGTAATTTTTTTTCGATTTCGTTCGGGCGGAAATTCACCATTTTCAAGTGTTTATGCAAGACCATTATAATGGGTTGTGGATGTTCTTCGAATCGTGAAAGGAAATCCAGCGTTCGTGTTATAATTGATCAGCCATTTTGCAAGGAGTATTTATAGCAAGACTAGATCGTTTCGAGTTATCATATTGCTTGAGAGTTTCAAGCAACAAATTCGACGGTTTGAATTCAAGGTAGAATTAACAGTCGTTGACGAATGGAAGAGTTTTCAAGCTTTCAGCCTAAACGTTTTATAATGTATTTAGCACGTCAGGAAGTATTTAGTCTGGCAGTTGCTCATTTGCGCAGGTGTTTAAGAGCTTTTGAGATTAAAAAATGTTGGTGAAGTAAAGGCTGGAATCGCATCATGGATTTTTTTGCCGAAAACGGCACAGTAATCTGGTATTATGTATGTTTTCCTGCACACACGGGATACCGAAACCAAAAATATTGAGCAGGAAGTTACTATATATGTGAGTATCAAACTGTTATCGTCTCACCACTAATTTCGTACTCTATCGTTTTGAAGCTAGAATAGGATGGGAGAGGTTACGCTAGATTATTGCCATGATAAATCCTAAACTAAACAGAATCGAAGCGAACAGAAAAAGAAAAGTAGCGATGGGGAAATATCCAGTACCAGTACCTTTATGCGAAATTCACTCGGACGTTTACTTTTCTTGTCAAACGATTTAGTTTGCATAATAAGTCGGTGTTTATCGCAGATTTCTGAAACACCGCGTTATTCAGATATAAACATTGACAACTGACTGGAACAATAGTAAATGTGAAATAAAGATCACTCACCCCTTTGATATATTTAAAGAATTCAATTGAGTTATACAAACGATAGGTAAATTTTTATGAAAATTTGGCCGTACGGTTACTATAATTTATAACATAAATTAAGAAAAACCACTTCAAACGCCTAATCAAGTGCTCAATTAGGCTTGGAGTAAGTTGTGATAATCGCTTTCTATTTGAAGCGTTTTAATTGCTTCTTGTGAGGTATTTATGACGATTTTAGAAAAACCTGTTTTTCGATTGGGTTAGTTTTTTTTGCGAAAACTGTTTCCGCGAACCATCAGTTTTACTATAAATTTCATATGCTCATACTTGCGAATACCTTCGCAAAACAGTTTCTCGCTTGGTTCATGCGTTTCGAATTTTAATGCCCGAATTTCCTCTCTGGGAAAATCACAAATCTAACACAATATCATTAATTCATGCTTTGGATACATTTAATCCTACCCAGCTAATTTGACGTGCTTTATATAGTTCGACGCCAAAATTCATTCGGCTGTTGATGGATAATACATTACTGAAGCATATGTTAGGCGTTTTAATATAGACTTGAATAAAAACGTCATGATACGAATTTATTTTGGCAATGCCCTCCATACGTAACAATAATTAGGTTCAAAAGTAGAGATTGCGTCGCCCAAACAAGAGGTGAATATGTATTTTAAGAGATGTATGTGTGATATTAATGCCATAATTGGCGGGGTATAAGCTAGTATACCAATTGTGACCAAACAATAGAAAGAAAGCGTCGTTTAGCAACGGAAGAGATCGGATTTCAGAGGTTAAACGCCATGATGCAACCAGAACAGTGTTCCCCATTTAAAAAAAATTGGCAGTTTTATCAGATTGGCAATAAGATGTTCATGGTTTTGGTGCAAATACAACAGACAGAAAATATTAAACAAATGCAAATTAACATTAGTAAAATAAATCTCGACAGTCTCAAAATTGAATTAAAACCTGAAGGGAAAATTATGCGAAGGGGAACATTGGTGGTACACGTTGATTAAAATCCCCCCATGATGGCAAAGATGAATGAAGCCTGTATACGCGCAATACATCAGGTTAAAAGTCGTTCTGCAGTGCATGAGTTGATATTTATATGCATTTACACAGGAGTATGAAAAAGAATGTATTTTCAGTCTAGGGTCAGAGTTGAGAAATGATAATCCCATATATGAAATTTCCTTCGTCTATATGTTGCAGATTCAAGCAGGATTTTGTAATTGCAATTAAAGGACATTCAAGTGGCGATGGTGATCATATATATATTGCTAATCGTACGCCTTTACTTAAAATATTCGAATTGCGATTTTCATTTGGCAAAAAAATATCAATTCTTTCTCGACGTAAATTCTGTAATTTACTGAATCTTCTCGGTAAAAAGGGTCCTATTTTTTACTCAAAATAACTGGATTCCTCATTTTTATGTTGAGCCAAATAGGAGTACATTTTTACGTATATTTTATTGTATTCATTCCGAGTGGTTCCAAAGCCTTTGAAGCACTTCGTATGACCGTTTGATGCGATAGTGTACTGACGAAATAGTGCATACGAATGCACTATCGCAAATGCATTGATGATAAAACTGTGTTTCTCCAAAGATTAGTTAGAGTTCACCGATATCAAACCTAAGCAACTACTGTATGTATAGTTAGCTCATTGTGCTTCGCCGCTCAAAGCCAAAACGGCGAAGTATGCGAGATTTGATCGTTGAATTCACTTTCTGATACGGAATCTTATATATAAAATTTAAATTAATTCTATGCTTGGCAAAGACCCCTAATACCGTATAAGAAAGTCAAAATAACATTTTTATAGGAAATTTGTGTTGAAGCCGGGATTTCTCTGCGGAATATAAATATTTATAATATTCAAAATTAAAATTAATCAAAAATTATTTCTTGATTTTTATTGAATTTTGGTCAAAAAATCCAATTTAATATATTTTTCTCAAGCAATAATGTTTTACGGCGAGGTTGATGACGCGGATATGACCTGAAATGTAGGAATCACTAATATTTACATTCAACAAATGTATCTGAAAATGTTTTAAAATATTTTTCCGTGATGTATAGATAAGGTTGTCTTACATCGCCAGTATATATACTTATTACATTGCTCCCAGAGTAGCAGAATTTAGTAGTTTTGATATTATGCCCTTTTTCAGTAATTTGAGGATAAAAAATGCTACACAAAATTCATGCACAACTTGATAACGCATTCTTAGTCATCAATTTGCATATTATGGGTGGAATGATTTTACTACGAAAATTTTTATTCAACTCATTAAGCAATGTGTCTTAAAATGTCACAGGAGGGTTATTAATTTTGTACCCAAAATTTAGTTGCAATCACACAGAAAAATGTTTGTTAATTGGCACAGATATGAAGAAATTTGTGAGCAAGCTTGTCTTAATATAAAAATTTATGAATTTATGTACCGGTAGACAAGACTACATTAAGTATTTTTGATGCTTCTGTAAGAATACTTTCATTTTTACCGGTGAGAGCCCCACAAACCAAAAATAGTTGTCTCCAAATTAATTTGCAACTAACAAATTTGCTGTACTGACAATTTGAAAACGCAAAATTACGTTTAAGTTTTGAGTTAATTTATAACAGAAAATTGGAGCGTTTGAAGTCATTCATTCATTTTACATATTTGTAAAAATGATTAAAATCGGAATAATCAATCAATCCGCCCATTAAATATGACTAACGTGGAAGACATTTACATTAAAAATAAACTAACGATGCGAGGATTCGTAAAAATCTCATAGATAACCGAAAAATCATAAATTATGATTTCGGCGATCTAGAACAGGGATTCAGAAATTGATGACCCATGGGAAATACGAATTTGCATTTTAGAAATGCGGTGATATTTTGACAATAGCAGTCTATGGGCGCCAAATTGAAATATGGGCTTCAACGCTTCAGACTATCTACGGCAGTCATTATTTCAGTAAACTGACGGCTCAAACTTTTGCTATTGTTTAGAAAACATGAGAATTCTTAGGATAGACATATTCAAAGCAATCGCCTAATCAGTAATAGAAATACTCCAAAGATTTCAAGTTGAATTTCGATCAAAAAATTATCTTACCAGTGTAAAGCATATAACGAGGTTTATTTTTCTGGCAACAGTGAAACAAAAAGCCGATAGATAATAAGATTTAAGTTCAGACTTAAAATTTGTCGGTATAGCAGGAGAGCAAGCTTGGGTTGTGCAGTCGAAATGTTTAAGAGACTAGTATTATTAGTAACTTGAAGCTAACAAAGACTAATGTGGCAACGGGATATTACATAATTTTGATTCGGTGTTGAATATGAAAAGAGCTACCTGAGTTGTGTTATAAAACGAACGGACAAGTCTCAAATTATTCTGTGAATTCCGCCAAAAGCGGATTGAAATTTTCGATACAGGCCATTAACGATGTCAATTATGAGATGATGGCGGGTCATTATATACTACGAGATATAGATTTTTGTATAATTTGTGTTTCACAAAGAACAATATTGCGGTTTGGAGTAATAAAAGCATTATGCTAGATTGAACGAGAGTCCTTGTTGCGAGAAGCAACAGTAGTTTAGGGCTTACGAAAACATAACGGCAGAATACACGGACTGGGACAAGACTTGAACCCCGACAAATATATTCAGGGCAATATGCTATCAAAAGTAGATGTAAACACTCCAAAGTTAAGATAAAATTTCCGTTTTCGGTATTATCCCCGGACGGACATTATGATTCTGCAGATGACATCTGTATTTGCGGAGATGATAAATTCGGCGATGATTTCATCTTTGTGACGTCATAAGGTACACTAATCGTGAGAAGGCGAAATATGTCGCGATGACGAATACAAAGTAAACTAAGCCCATAAATGGTAGATTAATTTACAAATTTGGTCCCTAGGAGAATACACTGTTCTCAGCTATATATCAATATTGTTTTGAAGACTTTTTATGCCAAATAATGAATAAATTTGAACACAGTATCATCATTTTTACATATCTACAGAAAATATATAATAAATCTATATCGTATATAAACGTAAATACATCATGGGTAATTAGCACAACGCATTTACAGTAAATCGTATCCGTCTTGGAACTAAAAAATGGTGAGTATTACCATATCTGTGTTATGTATTTTATATCCGTAACATCGTCCAGAGATCGGTCTGCTATATTTCTGAGTGGCTTGACCTTGCTTTAAGCGAAAAATCGTCACCATAAAATGTGCTAATGAAACCGTCCACCTCAAGTCACGTGATGGTTTGGTAATTTGAAATTTAGACCCAACTAGGGTGACATCGCAGGTTAAAAATATCTGGGAACAGGATGGGATTTACATATTTATCCCGGGTGAGGGAAAAGCCGACAAGACTGATGACGAACCAGTCCATGTCGAATATGGGATCAGTCAGTCAGTTATTTGTTTTCGGAACCATGGACTTGAAAGCGGAGGAAGCCGTAACCACCAAAGAGTCAAGCATTCCTTCAGCACATTACTATCCCGAAACCACGCAGGTATTTTCAGGGGTGCGGTGGCGAGCGTATTCCTATAACGCTTAGCACGATGCCCCACACCGCCAGGGCGAACCGCATGCCTCTCCAAACTGTACTAAATTATGTAGATAACGCCGAACCAAAAAGACTCCTGACCTTCTATAAGCAGGAAGTTTCTCGCATACCACATTGGCTACTTATTCCGGGTGATGGTAATAAAAACCCACCTACGTACAAAATTATACCTTTAGTTTTGAAATATTTTTAAATCGATATATTGATTAGCATAGTGAAATATCGAAGATCGGTATTATTATTTAAAATAAGCGCGGTAAGGGTGATTTGCAATAATATTCACGTTTACAGAGGTGAACTATGCCCGAGTAAAGTAAAGAAAAAAATAGAAGCTCACCGTGTCTTTTTAACACTGTGGTTTACTTACAGTCTAATCCTTTCGAAAAGGCGTCGGGTGGGCCCCAAGAAGAACTCTTGCTGACCCATAAGACAAGCAGTACTGGCTCTCCAAGAAAAGGCGGCACTCCAGTAAAACAGCGCAAAATGGCAAGCATAACAAAACACAATTTTCAATGGCACAATTACAAGAGACCGACTTTTTGTGCGCACTGTGGGAGTCTACTTGTCGGTGTTATCAAACAAGGAATGCGATGCAAGCGTGAGTATTTTTTTGTTTCAAATTTTTTTTAAATGTTCTAAGAAATTGGACAATTGATATAAAATATCTGTCGAGTATATACAGGGTTACTGAAACTTTCGGTATAATCATACACAAACAGAAGTACAAGTGGTATATGAATGTTCTAAATTTAGTAGAAAGTATTATTGGGTTCCGTTTTTTTTTTGGGGGGGGGGGGGGGAGGGGACACGCATTTTTTTTTGAGATAGGTATCTTGGGGCCAAATAACATCAAAATATTTCCAAATTGTATTTCAGGATGTGAAGTCGATGTTCATGACAAATGCCAGGAAGATTTGAAAAAACATTGCATCGAATTGGTGAGAACATTGAATATTGTTTAAATAACCCAAAATTTGTATAAATCAGAATATAAATGCGTCGTTAGCTTTCACTGTTTTGATTACACATGAAGTTTGAATTCAGTGAATGACAATAAATTTCTGAGCTGAATTTTCAAGTCATTTTCAATGTCAAAAATATACGAAGAACTTCTGATAAATTCGCGATAAACTTTGGAAATTTTGTTTTAACTTGCTTGTTAAAATAGTACTACATTAGCTATGTCTTATTAGCTTGCCACGTGTATAATCTATTTTTATTTCAACTTCGTGACCGTCTCTCCATACATATATAAATTCAGTATAATCAACGAAATATATTTCCTTTTGGCGGTTTCAATCCGCGTAGTAACAATTTTTACTTTTCTGTTGTTTTTTAGATGGTTGGACAACACAACTTTCGCGAGAAAACATACAAGCAACCGACATATTGCGATTTTTGTAAGAAATTATTGGTCGGGCTTGTAAATCAGGGTCTAAAATGTTCAGGTGAGACATAATAAAATAACTTTATCTTTCGCTTGAACTGGAAATAGTTAACCGGTTAACCGTTTAGATGGTTAACAATAACGAGTGATTTTGACCGTTAACTGGTCGAATCATACTTCAAAATATATGGAATAGTATTTTATGTTGCATTTGGCACGGTTAACCGGTAAATCTTGTATGGGTAACAGTCATGGCAGTCTTACAACAATTCGCAGGCCCATCTTATGAGAATAGAATTAGATAGGATTTTCATATTTTTTTCCTGGGTGAGCGGAAAGTCGATAAAACGGCTCAATAATATGGCAAATCACATGCTATCGTCCAGCTACCAGTACATGTAAAGTTTAGGAACAGTTAACCAGTAGTTTGTCATAAAATGGATGACTGTCAACTATTCAAAAACATGCAGCACGGCCGTTCCATTGTAAACATTATAATTCCAAATATAGTGACAGGTTGTCAATAAAAACATAACGAGAATTTACTGACGAGCAATACAGTCCGTCAAGTGAGATTATAAAATGGATAAGATGTGTTTTAAGTGTCGTTTTAACTCGGACAAGCGAGGATATTTAACTCGAAGGGATGCCATATGTGCTATATATTAAACGGAAATACTAGTCATTGGTGTATTCTGTAGTATAAGAAGCGTCACCCGTATTACCATAAATATTTAAACAAAAACAGAAAATAAACTTTCATTTTGTTGTGTTTGTAAAGTCACGCAAATATTAAAAAAAAATTCTAGCGGGATTATTCACGTCGAATACAGATCACTTATTATTCTGAATTACCTTAAAAAAATTGTAGAATTTACTGAATAAGTTTAACTGTCACAACTGTCACTTTCGTGTTATTCATGTAGTCAAAATAAATCACGCAGAGGATAAGATGGTGGAAATCGGTAACCAAATACGTACGAGTTAATTCTTTATTTTCTGTTTGACGAAGTAACCACGAATATAATCGGCAAAATACAACTACGCTTCAATTTTTTTATTTTAAATATTTTCAGGTATAATTCAATGAGTATCCATTATTCCAAACCGGGTTGCAATATGAATTATACATAGAAATATACCCGTAATCCAAGTTTTCTAAGTTGATTGAGTGTTTAATTAAATAACTTCGTTTTTGAGTATGTTGAAATATTCCAGTATTAAACCCATCTTAATTATAAATGAGTTCGAGTTTTAAACGCTACGATATTGTATTTAAAAACGCTACGCTGCATATTTCTGTACGGAAATTATTCAGCTGTTATGCCAGCGTTTGAAATATGAGACAAGTTTATTGAAATGCATCAATAAACTGCACTAGTATAGAATACAACTACCGGATACAGGCGTAATTGATTTTATGAACTCCGGGTATTCAGTATGGATATTGTATATAGCTATAGTTGACTATATACGAACCATGGAAGCTATATTGGAGATTTCATTCAATATATTCTTAGTGCTACACATACACATCTAAGGGCCTGACTCGTACTGGGAGGAAGGCGACTTCTGTACACAAGCGGCTATAAAAAGATTTCAAACGGCAATTTTATTTTTTAACAAAACGCTCATTTACAAATTTCGCTGCGAACAAGGCCCTAAAAGCGACCACCAATTCCTAACGATGTGTTAGATGCTACTATTGCCTACTCAATGTATTATACCCTGAGCGAAGGCGGAGACAAGATTTGAACCAAAGATGCTTAATCTGCAACGATACCGACAAAGTTAAGTCAAACGCTTCAATCGCTAAGCCGCAGTGCCGACCCATATCGTCATTGCTTAACCAATGTATTACACGACATCTTAGATGAAGGTTAGGATGAGATTTGAGCCTGGGATGTGTAATCTACGATTCTAACACACTTAACTGCTTCAATCGCCGCCGAGCCGACCTGGTATCCATAGGTGTGAATGTCTTTTTACATTCAATAATGAAACTCTTCTATTTTACAAACAGAATGTGGGACGAACGTCCATGAGAAATGTCAGGAGAAAATCGAAGCAAGTTGTGAACAAACGCAACGACGAAAGAGTCTCGGGTAATCATTCCTACTTTATCATTCATATTTTTCAATCTGAAAACCTTTTTAACGTGAAACAATCAAGTTGCGTGAAATACAGTATTTGCAGAGGATAGCCGGTGTGGGTTGCTGGGTTTTTTTGAGGGTCGTAATCGTAACCCCCTTAGGAAATGTAAACTGTCTACGCCCCTAAGTATTTGGACCTGTGGGGTCGAGGGTTCAGTCTGAGATATCCTGCACAAGGCGATCACTCTGAATTAATTTCAACCGTCCTTTTAACACCTGTGAGTGGAGAATGAAAATGCCCAAATAGAACTAATTGCAAGATTTTTAATCATGTTACAGAGTCGTGAGAGGGAAGGGATCAAGAATAAGCAGCAGAAGATCTCACTTGACACATGGCAATACAGATAAAATACCGATGAAGAAAATGGATTCACTCAACGAAAGCGATCAAGGTAAAGTACTAATTGTAATTAAGCATATAAGGAAGGTTACGAGATGTTACAATTACCCAAATCGATACCGACCCACCATCTAAAAACTAAAAGCAAATAGATTATTGATAGAGCAGTTGCCAACGTTTTTGGGAAAAAATTCTAAATTGAATTTTAGTTAACAATATGGAATCACTGTGAAATATCATTTAATAGTAATTCGTTGCATGGAAATTTCTTGGTATATATTATAATTTTACTAGGAATTGAATAAACAAGTACATTCAAAATAATATGATGGCTCACGGTACAAGAATTTCAAATATGCAAATTCAAATTTGAATTTAATGAAAGAAATTGCACATATTTTAATAGTGCATTATTCTAAAAAATTCTATTCATTTGACAATGTTTCCCACACGTTGCAGAATGCAACTGTAATACGACTAGCTAGATGACTCGCCAATCCCGTCATGCCTTAGTTTGGAGTTGGCACAAAAACGAAAACAGAAAAATTGTAAATTTTGCATTTTCATACGACCAGGCACTTCATTTAGTCATTTCGTTTAGTCACAAGACGACTTATATTGTTTTTGTCTAACCTATTCCCCTGTACTATAGTATTTCTCATTCTTCCCTCCTGACATACCAACTGAATAAAACTTTAGAATATTTCATCTTTAATTGCATTCACTACTTTCTACTCTAGACCCAAGTGATCCGTCGTCGCTTTTCGCGCCGATGCCTTCAAGAAGAAAAAGCTTGGACTCTCCAGTGGCCATGAGAAAGAACAGTCCTGCTGTTAGCCCCTCTGTATCTCCAAAAGGAAGCCGATCATCCAGTTTTGCCGCTCAAGGAAGTAAAGGTGCTACGGCAGGACCAAGCAAAATAGATCAAGCTAATCAGATGGTAAGACTTGATTATAATAAAAGCGATGGTAACATGAGGAATGATTCAATAAAGAAATATCGTTGGATGGAGGGCTGTCAAATAATGATGCGGAACCCTATGCGAAATCGATTGCGCGTAGCCCAGTCTGCGTGGAAATAAAGATAATGGTCCAAAATGAATGTTTCGTAACAGAAAATGAATTTGTCCTTACAGTGTACTACACAATCACAATTATTGTAATTTTACTTTGTGAGTCTTACGAGTATAACACATTGACCTATGAATATAACAGTGAAATTCAACAAGTTACTCCTAGAATTACCACAGGGTTCATTCCTTATAGTCGGTAGGGTTTGGATATACTGAACTGTAAAGATTTAAATTTATTTGAGAAAATAATGACCCACCTGTGTAAAGCCTTGCTCGAAGAAAAGCGCGATATTTCTAGGTAAAATGCATACTATTACAGTCCATCATCAAGGTTGGAATAACAACACCTTAAAAATTATATCATTTTTTACCAGGTCGATGAAGTTGTAGAAATAATGAAAAACAACGCAGAAAAAATGAGCGAAAGAGGAGAAAAATTGGAGAGTTTACATGTAAGAATTTTAAAATGTTATTTTGAGTTGTTTTATATTTATCGAAAATGGTACTTAGTGATCCTCTTTTCTCTTGAGAAATCCTGTACTTATCTAAATTAAAAGCAGAAAAGCGCAGTAGTGGAGTACACGTTACTTTAATGAAGGAAAATCATTTAATTATATGCGTCTTCAATCTTAAAATTACAACTCATTATAAAAAATGTTTTCACGACACAGGACAACGCTAGACAACTCGAGGAAAAAGCGAATCTATTCGAAAAGAAAGCGAAAGAAATAAAGAAGCAAATGTGGCTGAAGAATAAGAAAATGTGGATCATCCTAATCGTGGCTGTTCTTATCATAATCGCCATCATTGTTGTAGCTGTGGTGCTCAAAGTGAAGAAAAAGTAGAATGAAGCGTTTTCAGTCAAAGATAAAACTGCAATTAAAATGAGGATTTTTTTACTAGTCAACATGATTTGAACTTACTGCTCGAACTACACTCACTCTGGGATAATATTAAAGCGCGACCGCGATATTCAACTTTGCTTGTAAACTATAGTAAAGGGCCTTGGAAATATCTTACTTTTGCTCAGAAGCTAAGCACTGTTGTATTATTAATTATAGCGTTACCGCGATGTTTTACTGACTGGTTTATTGTAACTTTGCTTATAGGCTTTAACAATAGGCCTTTCTATATAGATAGCATTTCATTAATCTGTGGTATTAGTGCTATCGCCTTAAAAGCAGGCCAATTGGTCGCGTTTACGAACACATATTATATGCAAATGTGGGTCGCTGGTAAACCTCAAAAACAGTAAAAGCGTTAGAATGGTGTGGTCCAAAATTTTTAATACCACAAAAAAATTTATCTAGACAAATAACTTGGACCAAAAATGGAAAAGTCACTGATTAAAATGTCTCATTCGCTAATCCTAAGTACTAGTAAGTAGTAACTCTCAACAGTCCGACTTTGTGCTATTTGGTAGTGAACTCTAACGAAGACGCGTTTATTTATATTTAATATATTTTCATGTATTACATGACATCTGATTAAGATATTACTTTTTAATACTCCAAAACGTTGACATATGCCAGATGTTCATTTTCATAATGTACGCGCGTCTTTAAGCCATTGACTGATTTCTAACGTTCCAAAATAACAGTGACTTTGATAGTATTTGATTAAGTATAGAACTATTTTGTTTAGAATGAATTCTAAAAACTTGGCAAATACCAAATAACTCAAATATTATCTTGTATTTATTAGCACGTGTCACCGCTCAACTACATCTTGCTAGCGTGAGTGGGTCACCAATTATTTATTTTGTATTTTTGGGAGGAGGGGAGGGGGAGGCTTTATGATGCATGGGAATTTGCGGGGAAAAGTATTTTATATTATGTCTATATATTATTTTCGGATTATCTGGTAAACACTATTACCGCGACATGCACGAAATATGGTTGCAATCGGCTATTAGTCGCAATTATAAGCGAATCAGTTTTTCTTCATTATCGTTTCATCGATTTATTTAATTTTTTTTTCGTTTGACAAATACTTAGATTTTATATTTATCGCTATTCCTTTTAGATCTTTATACAAGATACAAGAACTTTTCTGTCCAAAACACCGATTCTCAACCGGTGGGCCAAGGTTCACTTCTGGGCCCCGGAAACATTTTCAGATGGGCCCCAAATCTATTGCTAGAGTTTCTGATTAATTAGTTAAAGTTTGATTGTAGTAACAATGAATGATGATAATGTTTTTGCTACTAATTCTCATTTCAGTTATTGAAGTGGAATGGTCTATCTTTACGAAAATAATTTATTTGTTTTTTCTGTGGTTTTACACTTGCAAGTTAATGAGTCACATGATTTTTTGAGCAACAAAAGTGGCCATGAACGAAAAAGGGTTGAGAACCACTGGTCTAAAAGATAACAATCCTTTTCATAATATGAAAAAAAATAAAAGTGGGCTATAATGTTAATTTGAATAGACATAGTGAAAGGCCCCAAAACTGTATATATTGGTTCTAGTAATAAAGAAATATTTAAATTTAGATTTTCAAGTTTACTACAATTCTATGAAATTTGTTTATTAATTTACAAAACTTAAGCAATGGAAACTAGCAACTCCATTTAACTGGCAGCATCTTAATAACTTAAATATTCTATTGCAATGGAATCGCTCAAGTCTGACGACGATTCGCCATCTAAACAACAATTACTTTTTCACATTATGATGACACAATACTAGTATCTCTGTACTGCCATCTAACGACACAACAAGATACGGACTATACATTCTTAAAAAATACAATCATTTCCTGTCACATGATGTACGTAAACCCCGCATGGTCCCAGTCATTTTATTGTCATACGTTCTCCATGGATAAATAAAAAGCTTATGAATACTTCTTATGACCTTATTGATATCATGTATTATATGTCGATATTTCTAAAGTTTTTAATCGATAAATGAACTTTTTATTATCGTTATATTTGAAACTTTTTTATTATTTTCGTCGTAATTAGGAATACTATTAGAAAAGTCTTCATCAGGCCTGGGGCATATTTTGTGCATTTTCTTCTTCTACGTATATAGTCATCAAAAATAAATTGGTCAACTTTATTGAAGATATTGTGTTTAATATTGGGAAAAGTTTGAGTTAACCACTGTGGACATCCGAGCACACGCGAATTTGTTGTATACAACAAGAGAGTAATGATCGATTATATGAACACAAAAGTTAAAATGTCAAATCAGCGAATTACAACAAACAGGAAAAATTTTGAATAAATTTCGCACATCATGGGGCTAAAATAGAAAAGTAATAGCATTCTAGCGACTTCTTCTATCTAACTGTACTGAATATTGGAGGTTTGCTTAAATTATCCGATTTGTATTCCTAATTGGTTAAATGTGCCATTTATTTTCTTAGTAATTGGTACTACAGCTATAGCCTTTATTAAGTAACCGAAAATTTAGATGATATGCTCAAAATTAAAAACAAATGAGTACGATTCGTTTACAGTCGATTTATTAGACGATAAAAACTTATAAATATAAATCATGGCATGAACAATAGAATAAACATCTTAAACGTTGATAAAAATTTAATAAAATTGCACAATAATCCATAAAACTAAATACTTATTCCGGTAAATACTATTATATTATAGTTACATAATCACAATTCTACGATTCTAACGTCATGGTTTATCAGGCATAACGGCGGCCTCTACTAGAACGTCTAGAAACGAATCCCGTCGACGAAACCTTCCTGGTGAGAGGGGATCGGGTGGGTCTTCTGCGTCGCGATGTTGTTGTGCTTGACGCTTGCGATGCGGGCGTGGTCGCCTGAAAAGCGCGATGGTATTGTCAAGAAAGATAAATGCGATTTTTTTGTAAGGATATTACTTTTGTGCTTCATTCAATTTATCATGACACGACTTATTGTGAAAAATGTTGCGACTAAACTCCATTCATCGTTCAGAAACACAAATTTGCCAAATAACACCGACACCGTACACAGACTTCTCAAACGAGTTGAAAGCAGAATAGAGACTTTCGAATGTTTGAATCAGAATTAACCTAGGCAAGACGTACATGTTGATAAGCTAACAACGTCCAACTTGAAATATCATGTTTTAAAAAGATTTGAGCCGACCATGTGATGTGTCTCTTCTGTACTTTTATTAAGCAACAGCCGACCCCCTCCCGACCATAACGCACGCAATAATCTAGTAATAGCAAAAACTATTCACAAAAATACATCTACAGGTTTTACAATGGTGTATTTTACGACAACACTAAAACAGCACATTTATTTATCATAACATTGGTTCGGTGATACGGTACATGCTAATCAGGTTGTTATGTCCTTGTGTCAGTAAGCTATTTATAAAACATGGGTGCGTAACACATTATAATGTAGTAAGCAGATGCATGTAATTGTGTTATAATCTTCATCGAATTCCGTAGCTTAACTCACCAAAAACAACGAAGACCGAACGAATAAAGTCTGTGAAAGTCTGAACCACAACGTGACTATTGCGCAATAGGAAAAACATGATCACGGCGCTTAATATTCTCACATTATTCCTAGCTGAGTATCCTTTGTGAAGCGTGCCCTAATAAACGTACAAACAATGCTTAACGTACCTTGCTGGGTATCTGTTTCCTCCAGAGGCAGCTTCCAACGCAGCTTGTGGTGTTCTGGTCTTCTGGTAATAGAAAGCTCCAGCTCCACCAGCCAAGGCGACACTTGCAGCAGGAAGGAAAGTCTTCAATGTGAAAGCCATGTTGACTCTGCGTAGATAAAAGAATGAATGAATTTAATTTCAATTTAAAAAAATTTGAATAAAATGATATGACTGTGATGTCATAATAACGGTAAATAAGATAAAATACAAAAGAGACCGCAATTTCTCGGGTAACTTGTGTTGGACTAGGAATGGTCCATAAAATACATTCGGCTGTTCATTCTAATACCAGAAAGGTAATGAAGATTTAAAAAACAAATTCTGTTTTGCCTCACAATCAAATAGTGATTACAAACGGGTAAAACAGAAATTATAAATTTCTGTGGGATAAAAAATAGATTGTAATAATGGCAATGAGGGATGGTATAAACAAGGTGTTATAATAGTTATTGAGGTTGCGGTATGGTTATCGTACAGGTATTCTGGTATCGGTATTTTTGCATTAGGAATATAGAACGTCAAGAAATAATGGTACACTACTACAGTTCTAAATACTGGTATCTATGAGAAACAAATATCGGATTTAGTGGCGACTGACGCTTTTTAACTGTAATACTGTTAAAAAGTGCCAGTCGTTCAACTTTTGAATTGTATTTCACCGTAACTTCAATACTGTTAATATTTGATTGTACAACGCGAGACTGACTATATTTAGTCTTGCTCCTATTATGCTGACGTATTTGTAGGCGTATAACAATGTAAGGATGCTGTAGTCAGAGTCATTTAGCCACTAAGCAAGTGAAGCAAAGGAAAATGGGGGCCGCAGTAATTTTCAAAGCCGAGTTCTCAATAGTGCCTCAGCGTTTAATGGGATGATTGGTCAGGCTATTCAGACCTCAATATTTGCCCGGTTGGAATAAATAAATGTTAATAGACTATTTTTACTAAATATGTAAATTAATCATAATTTGGCCTTCAATCAGTGATGATAATGAAACTTACTTTCAATTTCAGATACCACGGAACACTAGTTACATTCCTGTTATTATATTTTATATATAGTCTTGAGTGCTAAGGGCCTCCAAAGGCCATGATCCGACACTAGGCATATATTTGTATATTACAGATACCGATCAATCAGACTCGACATCTTATCTCGCCAGCAGCTCCAAAAAACTGAATGCAGTTAGATTCGACCGGGATAATACTCATAGTCTGCTAAATGATTGAAGTTCGGTTCTCCCCAGATATAAATTCGGTTTCCATAAGATAAATTACCCAAAACAAGGTCACAAGTACTTGCTCAGAAGCATAATTCTAAACCTGTTTCATTAAACACTCAGCCTGCTATGCAGGTTCTCAAGAGAAATTCTGGAGAAAAGTTACATGAATATCAAACCGTTTCTTCCCATTTTATGAAGCATAATAGCACGAGGTAAAAATAAATTGGCACTCGTAATCAAATCCATTATATAATTCCAAACATCTTACTTTTATATTTTAATGGTAGTTCCGTATGCAGGCGAAAAGAAAAATTTGAGCAGCGTCTTCCGAGAGTTCCCTCAAACGACTGACTAAACCCTGAACCGTGAAGGACGTTGGTTGTAAATTGTAGGGCAAGCCAGGGCAAAATTCCACTGTCTTTTGTCGGCAAAGCGAATACATTTTCACGATACACAATGCTAAGCGCATCAGGTGTCGCCCCTTTGTCGCAGCCTTTTTAAAATCCGCTACCCGCAGCTAGTACGCGCACCAGTTAGGAAAACTGTATAATTCAATAATATTTCACAACCATTGCTTCCTATTACTTCTCTATTACAACAATTTGTCTCGACTTTGACGGGAAAATTTCAAAGGGCAAAATTGTACTACCTTACAAATTCAACGAGTGCAATTTGTATATTATTCTCCGCTCGGATTACCAAAGTCATTAACCACAAAATACATCCAAATACACGATATTCTTTATAGTTTTCACTGATTAGGAAATAGTGGTATTTCTCACAATAGGCGGGCAGGGCAAGTCATCAGCGGTCTGAAATTGCTTTCAACTGTCTTTAATAATCATTGTTTCGCGAATCTAATTCGTTTCAGAATGACCTTAACTCGTTATTGCGTGGTGGTCGATCCAGGATAAGACAAATGCATTCATTTTGTATGTATGGGTAATTAAGGGTTAATTTATAATAGAAATAATCAGTCAAAGTTGGATTTGACGCCAGTATACATATTTCTGGTTTAATTCGTTACGACATGTCTACAACTGTCGAGGGGATTGGACCTTATCATCTTGACATTTACAAAAATCACTTTAAGAACGTTGATGGTGCGAAATAAATTTTTGAAAGGATTACGACCCATGAAGTCCTTTAGGAATCTTGGAGCAAATAATCTTAATTTCAAATAAAATCAGCACAGAATCCATTTTTTCATGATTACACATCCCGTAGAATTTTTATATTCTTGTAGAAAAAGCAATGATTTCAAGTTATTGGCGGAATCTGTTTGTTCGTTAACATATTCACAAGCCTTTTGTGTATTTAAAACGATTTTAAGAAATCTTCCGTTTAGTACCGTTCTGATAGCAATACGTCAGTTTTTTAAACTGCATATTAGCGGTAATGTTTGCTTACAAGTTTTGAACTGCAGGATAATTGAACGATTTTTTTATGATGAATTTGTATTCGTTATCCATATCGCAGATATTTATGTGGAACACTTGATTTATTTTTGAACATACAGTAATCAATTTCCCATTAATAATACCAATATCCAGTTATTATTAATATACCGTATATACTAAAGCGACGAGGACGAAGACAGGCATTCGAAAACATTGTACAAGTCAGATCATAGGTTATTTAAAGCTCACGTATTTCGTGTTCATGCTTAGCTGTTACAGCCCAAACAATCCCACGAAGGTCACCTTGAAATTGAACTCCGATGACTAGGTGAGCGTCGGGTGATGTTTTGATTACGCGAGGGCATTGTTCCACTGTCTCGCGCGACCGCAAATTCATTGTCACCTAATAATCAGTCTTAAATAAAATGAAACGTGCTTTAGCACACGTTCGGGCTGTTTGATGAAAAGCTTTAAAATTCATCGCATTCACAAAATTATGTTTTTTCTAGAGCATATTATCTTGTATGTATTATGACGTCATACTACAATAAACAATTGCGAGTTACCAAATTTCTGAAAAAAATATTATAAAAGTCTGATGTAAAAATATAGTTTTGCTCTATGGAACATAAATTCGTAAACCATCTAGCTAACTCCCGTTCATAGTCAAGGGTATATTGCACGCAGTGCGTCTTTGCAACAATCTTTAAAACTGCCGTTCTACATAATTTAAAGATTACCAAGCTTTCGCTTCAACGTAACATCTCACAAACGATGTTACGAATTTAATTTTATATAAATTTTCGGAACAAAATGAAACGAAGGATACAATTCGTCCAACTAATCCACAATGTTTGGCGACATATTTTCAAGATAACATAATGGGAGCCTAATAGAAAACGTCGCCTCTCCTTCAAGTCGGTTAAGAAAATAGCTAACGATTAAAATAAGAAAGATGCAGCAGGAGTGGCTATGTGAATCCCTATTGGATAGCGAGGAGTCAGTCAAACAATCCTCTAGCTCGTAGGGTAATAAGTAGTCTGATAAATGTGTTTTAAAGTTTATCAAGTAAAGTTAATGACGATTTCTTTTTTACACAGCAGCACGCAAAACACACGAGAGGAATCCGAAAGAAAGCAAATGCTAGAATGTATTTAAAACATTCGCCACGATGAGCAAACTACCAAGCTAAAACAATATCAAATACTAACCTAACATAACCTACGAAACAGAGCAGGTTGCGAGCGATGGCAAGAGTGGCCCTAACACCTAAAGAGCAAAACTAGTTTAGAAGTTGATAAATTGAAGTGAAAAGCTGATAGAGTTCGGGTATGAAGTTAACATTCCAGATACATGACATGTTTTTTCAGTAGATTTTTATAAAAATAAAACAATATTACATAACGTTAGTTGGCGGAATGTGAGTCAACACACGTACACCGCTCTCCAGAGGTTTCGCCAATATCAGCATCTTTCTTGCTTATAGAATAATGTTAGATACTCACATTTATTTCAGTTACTCAAATGAAAATTTGACTCCAGGTTCTTTCGGTACAGCATTCAAAAGAAAAATTTCAATTCTACTGCAGTCATGGAAACTACAGTTTCCTCTGTGTCGTCAGAATGGATTAGATTATGAAGTAATAATCAAATCATTTTCTGAGAACATCGTTGAAATTTAAAATCTAGCAACCTGAGAACTAATCTAAATTATAAATAATTCAAATAGGATAGGAATTTCACATTTTTATTTCAATTTAGAAGATAGTCGATACGGCGAACCACGGCTTCCCTCCCGGTTAGTGGTTCAAGGCGGTAACCGGTTACGTGTATTTGTTTCAGATGCATGGGTTTGAATGTAACTAACATTTGACAAAAAGTACCTCAGAAATATTACAAATGAAATTCCTAAATTTATTTATCTGTCAAAAAAGGTAAAAAAAATATTTCTTTATATGCCTGACTGGTACTCAACCATCCATATGCTTGCTTTTCGATGGACGTCATCAGCAATACAAGCCATCGTGGAAGCAATGGAGAAGTTCTTGTCGGTGCTTTCCCGTTTTCAGGTTGCGTCTCTGAGTTTTTGTTTTTTTTAGTTTAAATTTTAGAATATTCTAGATTACCAAGACTGGAACTGCAGTTCGGTATCTTAAGCGTTACAGTACGGTACATAGACTACATCTTCAAGAATCGGAATGTTGAAATCAGGAAATAGGTTCAGTTTTTAATACAATACAATTTTATTTCGATCTTTCGTCTACAACACAAATAAAAAGAACACAGACAAGGTCAACTGAAAGATCGGGAAAATGGGCAAAACCTATATAAAGGTTTATAACGAACGCTGTAACCAGCGATTATGCCCATCAACCATAGCCGATTTGACACCATCAGACCATGTCAGTATGTTGAACTAAATGAACTGGTAACAAATACTTTCTAATGGAAAAATGAATTCAATGCCTAGCCTACCGGTACATGCTAGGTATTCACAACGGGACAAGGCCTCTTGGTAAATCTGTAAATATCTGAATATTAAAAAACTGAAATACGGGTTTGTTGTTTATGCCTAGTGGATTGAATTCCCAAACATATGATTTAATTCAGTATTTATCAGTAAATTTTATACAATTTACAGTTGATAGATCCAAACATAGATTATAATATTAATTTGGAGAAAAGAAGTAAAGCAGCAAAATGGTGTTAGCAGATCTTGGTCGAAAGATCACGGACGCTTTGCGTTCTCTGAGCAATGCAACCATTATCAATGAAGAAGTTTTACAATCAATGCTCGGGGAGATATGTCGAGCCTTACTCGAAGCAGATGTCAACATTCGACTCGTTAAGCAGATGCGAGAAAATGTCCGCTCAGCGATTGATTTCGATGATATGGCATCTGGTTTGAACAAGCGTAAAATGATTCAATCCGCTGTATTCCAGGAGCTTGTGAAACTTGTCGACCCAGGTACAAAAGCATGGCAGCCAACAAAAGGTAAAGCTAATGTAATTATGTTTGTTGGTCTTCAAGGTAGTGGAAAAACAACGACTTGTACTAAGCTTGCGTATTATTATCAGCGAAAAAATTGGAAAACATGTCTAATCTGCGCGGATACTTTTCGTGCCGGAGCTTTCGATCAGTTAAAACAAAATTCAACGAAAGCTCGTATTCCGTTTTACGGCAGTTATACTGAAGCTGATCCTGTGATTATTGCGCAAGAGGGGGTAGAAAAATTCAAAGAAGAAAACTTCGAAATCATTATTGTCGATACAAGTGGAAGACACAAGCAAGAAGATGCTCTTTTTGAGGAAATGTTACAAGTATATAATGCCGTCGCGCCTGATAATGTCATCTTTGTAATGGATGCCACAATTGGACAGGCATGCGAATCGCAAGCAAAAGCATTCAAGGAAAAAGTCGATGTTTGTTCTGTTATCATTACAAAACTTGATGGCCATGCGAAAGGTGGAGGTGCACTTAGCGCAGTTGCAGCTACAAAATCACCGATCATTTTCATAGGTACTGGTGAACATATTGACGATTTCGAAATGTTTAAAACGCAACCGTTTATCCGAAAACTTCTTAATATGGGTGACATTGAAGGCCTTATCGACAAAGTTAACGAACTGAAATTGGATGAAAATGAAGAACTATTAGACAAATTGAAACACGGACAATTCACTTTACGAGACATGTACGAACAATTTCAAAATATTATGAAAATGGGCCATTCAGTCAAATTATGAGTATGATACCAGGATTTAACGATTTCATGACAAAAGGACATGAAAAGGACTCGATGGAACGACTAAAAAAACTCATGACAATTATGGACAGCATGACAGATGATGAACTTGACAGTAAAGAAGGGGCTAAACTTTTCACCAGACAGCCAAGTAGAGTCGCAAGAGTGGCGAGGGGTTCTGGTACCCTACCTAAAGAAGTCAACGAGCTTATGATGCAATATGGAAAATTTGCGCAGATGGTCAAAAAGATGGGAGGCATGAAAGGACTTTTTAAACCGGGCGGAATGGATAAAAATGTTAACCCGTCACAGATGGCCAGACTTAATACGCATATGGCGAAAATGATGGACCCAAGGGTTTTGCATCAAATGGGTGGCATGCAGGGACTCACAAATATGATGAGACAGTTTCAACAAGGTGGAGGGCCTGGTGGCAAATGATTGATTTTAAGCAAAAATACAATTTAAAATAATATATTCTAAAGTCTAAAATCGCAATTGGAAAATGGCTTGCATGAAAGCTCACCAGATTACTTGAGAATACTTAGGATATATATATGAAAAGTTACAGTGTTTTGCTATGTTTAAACTCATAATGCTCATTGGATATTTAATTTTTTCTTTATGCTTCACTTTTTCAATAATTGATAATGTTAAAGAGTATGCCAATAAATAGGATTTATTCCCAATGGTCCTTTCTAGGCCCGGGGTTCCCACAATTGTACAAATATAAGGGAACAAACTTCCCAAGGATTTTGACCCAAAGTTGAAAATTTATGATCTGATGATGTAAATTTCCTATTGTTTATGTGTTCATGTCATTGTTAAATCCTTTTATTGGATTGTGAGCAGATTTTAAACTATTGTTGGTTTTCTAGAGATTAGGATATAGAGGAAAACCGGATAGATATTACTTACAGATGTAATACAAAGATAAATTCTTAATTTTTGTTTTTATTATGGGAATTTTGGTGTTGCTGTGAATCAACAAGACTTTTTGTTTTATTGTACATTTACTTTATGTGATTGAAGGAAATCATGCCAGTTTTATTCTTTATTATATTATGAGTTTTGTTTCATGGCGTATGTGTTTGCAAATAAGATAGGATATTATTCACCAGATATTTTTGTGAAAATATAAGGAATTTGTGTATATATATGTACTGGAGAATACTTTTTTAAGCAGTGGACATTGCATAATATTTTGTTTTTCTCATGATCTCATTCTTACAATGCTGTGGACAAGCAGAGTATTATGGACATGACAATAACGAGGAAATTTAGTTTGACAACTAAACAGTCGCATTTTTGTAAATTTTAAAGATTTGGTCTGAATATCACCAAGCCAGAACCAGCTTCAATTGAATTTAAAATATTTTCTCAATATTTATTCTTGCGACTACTTTTATTTACATGCTCAATGACATTGTGTTAGTGAGTCATGCTGTGTGATACTATAGCAAGCATGGCTATGGACTCTCTTGAGGCCTAATTGAGCTAATTAAGAATACAGACGAGACTCAGGGGTTGAAAATTTTGAACCTTCTCGCCACGAAAATTTTCATGGCGAAAAATAAATTCTTTGCAACCCTTTTACCGCCGTGGTGTAATTAGCCACTGCTGTGAATCATGCACATTCGGAGAAGTAATTCTCGCTCCAATACCATAATAAATTGACTTGACTAAAAACCCCAATCTCTCACATTGCGTCGCTAGCGATGACCAAAGTAACTGGTAGACTTGCACATTTTTGAAAGAGTGCACATTACCTTTAAAAACTGTTGTTGCATTATTCTGTGTATGTATATTACGGCTTTTTGATCAAGAAAACTGTCTCTATATTTCAGATTTATGAACTATAGATGTTGTGAACCAATCATTGACATGTCATACTCAATCGAACGATATTTAGACATTTGTCAGGAATATGTGGGAGAGGAAAACATGTTGTATTTTGTGTTCGGAGTTTCGTTCATTATTTCTCTCCTATTTTACCTTGTATGGAAACTAGTTGCTGGCGGAAAAGTCAAGCGACGTGGAATTTTATTCGTCGGATTAAGTGGTGCCGGGAAAACTTATCTTTTGAGTAAAATACTAACTGGACAGGTGATTGAAACTGTAACATCGTTGAAGGAAAATCAAGCAACGTACGCATCAGAAAAAGGAGTTCTTAATATCATTGATATCCCTGGCCAAGAAGCAATCCGGCAAAAGTTTTTTGACCAATTCAAAGATACTGCAAAAGGAATTATTTTTCTCATTGACAGCGAGTCGTTTTCTAAGGATTTGAAAGATGTTGCGGAGTATTTATTTACTATTTTGACCGACCAGAACGTCTTGAAATTCGTGCCGCCTCTTTTGATTGCATGCAACAAGCAAGACCTATTGACTTCAAAATCAAAAAAAGTAATCCAAGATCACTTAGAAAAAGAGTTGAACACAGTTCGGAAAACTAGATCTGCGGCCTTGAGTTCGATTGATGGAGAAGAAGCAACTGTGCATCTCGGTGTAAAGGGGAAGCCATTTGAATTTTCTCATTTAGGAAAATTGAAGGTTGATTTCATTGAATGCAACGCTAAAGGTGACTCTGAAAATGAATCTCGACTTGATGAACTATTACTTTGGTTAAATAGACAGGCATGAGTGTTTATAGAGCAGCGTTTCTCAAACTTTTTTTTGTTTCGGAACACCAAGAAATTGTGAGAAGTGTGATAGACTGGTACAAGGTCTGTCAGCCTGTATGTTGCCATTTGTGAGACAAATTTATGACCCAAAATCGACCAATTCCGATTCGAAGCGGTTCCACAGAACACAGTTTGAGAAACGATGGTATAGAAATAGAAAATTTGAATTGAGAAAGACTTGATTAATTCATTGATTGTTGGAATCAATTTTTTTGTTTTTTGGTGGTTGTTTAATAAAAGAATGAGTGTGAACCTATATTAATTCCAGTTGCAATTATTGCTTTATTCATTTCTGAGAAATCTTTTATTTGTGGAAATATAAGAGAAGGAACTATTATGGGCGTTTTGCTTGTAGAGAATTCACAGGGGAAATGCTCTCTGCAGAGCAGGTTGGTTCAAAAAATTTTAGGTGCGACATGGTGAAAATGTCTGGCTACATTAGTTAACCATCTCGCTAAATTTTTTTTAGGAGAGGAAAAATGCCATATCTATCCTACAACCTGTTGAGCATGTAAATCCAGGACACTAATTGCGGGCTGCTACAAACAATAAGTTTTGCTGAGAATTCAAACCACATAATGTCAAGTTCATGAAATCCTCTCTACGAGCATCATAGCTAAAAAATATTTCACCAGTAGACTCACACCTACATAATATACATGAAGACACAGATTTACAAATTGTTCTAAGATCTCTACAATCCTAATGCGTGCCCAAAGAAGATCAAGTCACATTTATACCAAGATCAGTAATATTTATATTCAAGACATTGCACAGATGGAGGATTTATACGCTGATGATGATTTTTTACTTCAACTCATAACAGAGCCGGATAGAACTATCAATATCCATCTCAAAAGAGATGGTACAGAGATCATCACTTGTATAATCATGCTAGATAAATAAGAGGCTTATTTAATTCACTTCGCGAAAAATATGAAAATCAAAATTAATTGAGAAGAATTTTAAGATTCAACAATCACAATTCAGGATCATATTATATATATATATTTCATCATGATCAAAAGGATCTTGAGGCCATTGGAAAAAAAAATTAAAAACACATGCCATATTCTGATACATTCGTTAGAGGTATTATACCAAATAACCCTAAATTTTAACAATAGTAAGAAGTACTAATTTCCACTTGACATTTCTGCCAACACTTTGCATAAATTACATGAAAACTGATTGCAATTTTTTCAATAAAATCATTTAAACATATTTTTATTCTTCTGCAACAACTGTATTAGTTATTCTCCCAATTCCTTCCACTTCACAGGTGATCACATCACCGGGCTGAAACAAACAACATGATTTAAGACTTCATTACATTTAGATAGAGCATTGCCCCCAAATACTGAAACAAGATCTCAAAGTTTGATAAAAACTCACAGCCGTAACCATGACGACCATGCATGGGTAGGGGAAGACATAATGCTCGAGGCAAATGGTTAGAATGAGTATATGGAGTGAGATTTAATGTATGTTCTGGGTTAGGCAGATATAAAACAGGCATATTTTATGCCTCGTGGCCCCCTTAAGGAGGTATTTAGCACTGATGGCCCTGTTTATCATTCCAGTGGTATTTATGATATTATTTAGATTGGTAGATTCCAAATCCTATTATTTTCAAACAATTCTTGCTCAACAAAGTGCCTGTGAAATAACCTCAGCAAGCAAGACGCGGAGTTTTCTAGTAAAAGTAACATCAGTTTTGCGCTTTCTGGCATGATGGTGCCCCCGCTGGTTTAGAGCAATAAAATATAGTGGGATTCAACAAGTACACACAATAATCAGCATGATCTTACAACTAAGTGGACTAGTCTAAAATAGCTTCAAAAGCGAGCAGATATTGTCGAAATTGTTCATGAAAGCTTAGTCTTACTTGAATTTATAGTATAATAAAAACAAGAATGTATAATTGAATAATGATCTAATAGGATAAACACTAGTCTGAAAAAATGTACAGTCAAATTTGAAAACAGCTCTGGCTGTAATGTCTGCTCCCAACCAACAAACTCTTTGATGAATGCATTTAATATATGTCTGTCGGGAATACTTAACCAAATGCATTTTCAATAAATTTTGACTTTGACTTAACACCATTATAAGTCAAAAATTCTGACCCTAACAAAATGCAATATGAAGAAAAATAGAATTCCACAGCCCTGATATACCGTATTTATTCGATTATAACGCGCAAAATTTTGAACTGAATTTTAGGCAAAAATCATTGCTGCGCGTTATACACGAGGTCTGAGAAATGCGGTATTGAAAATGTGGTTTTAAACATCTGAAACGTGCGTGCGTTTGCGCAAGCACATTCCAATGCAGGACGATTTCGTGCAAGCACACGCACATGCGACAGCTCAGCGTGCGTTTGACATTCGTGCAAGCGTTCGATTTCGTGCAAGCACACGCACATGCGACAGCTCAGCATGCGTTTGACATTCCCGCTGCGTTGAGAATATTTATTTGCCATTATCGTACTGTACTGTAGATACCCATTATCTATTATGGCAAGACAAAAACATTCTGCATATAGGGCTGCATTCAAACTGGAGATTACTGCTGCTACTGCTTACCAGTAGTTAGTAGAGAAAAAATAAAAAAAATAATTTTATACCAATTTTCATTCAAAATTTAAAGGTGCGCGTTATACACGAGTGCGCGTTATAATTGAATAAATACGGTAAATATTACTGTGCCTATACCAAAACATACCTTCATATACACTGGGGGCTTTCTGAAAACCCCTACCCCAGGTGGGGTTCCAGTTAATATTAGGTCACCAGGTTCTAATGTACTGAACTGTGAGACCCATGCAATGATTTCTTCAGTTTTAAATATAAGTTGATCAGTAGAGCTATCTTGCATCGGAAAGTTGTTGACTAAACAGCAGAGAGCTAGCTTATGAGGATCTGAAAAAGTACGGTGTTTAAGAATATGCCGGTGGTGCTCAAGAGCCATAAGATGTATAAAAATGGTAAAAACCTTAGGTATTTTAATTCAATGAGAAATAGGCTCGACGTTTGGCGCATTACACTATGTTTACGGATACCTATGATTACCTTGCGTGCGTTTGAATACAGTGACTGATAATTACCGGCATATGCAGAGGTAGCTGGACTCCTCGCCCCTATAAGATGGTTCAAGTGTCCAAACTGTCCATGCATCTAATTAACTATTTCAATACACAACATGGATTGGTAACGGGACGATAAACCGGTCACCATCTGATTAACCTGTCTTATACTTTCCTCTCTCTTTATCTTATCCTAAGCAAATATGGTTGGTTTGACATTGAGTATTGCTTGAATACAAAACAAAAACTGTTGATACATATAACTCATAACATCTTTGGATGCGAAGCAACTAATTTTGTTGTATCAAATACCTTCATCCTAAGCCCACCAGAATAGGGAGCCTACGCCAAATTATGAAGAATCTGGTGATTTTCAAACAAAACTCAATGCTATGATCAGGTGTTTTATCTATATTTAGACACTTCATAGAAAATACTCACTTGGGAGAGCGTCTTTAGTAACAATGACAGGTCCAAGAGGACAAAATGTATCAAATGTTTTTCCAAGCAACCATTGCTTCCCATTCTTTTGCATTTGCCAATCTCTTGCACTAACATCATGAGCAACCGTGTATCCAGCAACATAGTCCATTGCTTCCGATTCCTTCATAAAAATAATGTACAGGAAAATTACATTTGTGACAATATATGAAATGAATGGTGTGAATAATAGCGAAACCCTGATATAACATTTAAAATACATCGACCACTGGAAGGTGCTCCTGAAGTATTCGTACCAAGATGGCACACAACCTGAACATAGTATGTGTACCAGGTTGGGTTTTCAGGTTGTGCGTCATCTTGGTTGAACATAGTTTGTGTACCAGGTTAGGTTGTTCAGGTTGTGCGTCATCTTGGTATGAATACTTCCGGTGTGCCACTATTGAAACAACATCGAAATATAACAGTGCTGTACATGTTAGTAAGAATCGATTGTTGACGGCAGACTTGAAGTGATTAAGGCCATTATGTTCAGGAAAGAGCTTCTAGGTCAGCGGTTCCAAACCGGCAGTTGGAGGGGGCCAAAATGCTAGGCGCAAACTGATTTTACTTTTGCTTGATAAGGTTATTTCACAGGGTGCTTTCACTTTTTTGTGCAGGGCTTGTTCGAACATAATGAGATATCCTAGCCTCATTGCTTGATAAGGTTATTTCACAGAGTGTTTTCACTTTTTTGAGCATGATTTGTTTGAACATAATGGGATTTGAAATCTACCAATCAAAATAACATTATAAATACCATTGGAATGATAAACATGGGCGCTAAAAGCCTCCGGAGGGGAGGTGCGAGCCATAAAAGGTTGGCAACCATTGTATTAGGCAGCGAATCGCACATAACAAAAATTGTTGGAAAAATCTTTTAAACTTTTTAACTAAACTTTTTTTTTTAAGTCTGGTGGGTACACCGACAGTTTACCAATATGAGCCAACAACTGGACAAGTTTTTAAAGTTCAGAAGAATACAGTCGGTTATATTGTACCATGTTAGTCTTCACAGAAAAAATAGTATCCTCGAATAGAATAAAGATAATATAAAAATTTGAACCTCAATATTTTTTCCTCTCTTTCCAATAACAACTGCCAGCTCAACCTCCCAATCAACAGAGTTGGATATTTTTGGTAACACAATTGGATCACCGGATGCTTGAACAAAAAAAATGTTCATGAGTTCCCAGAAACTATATTTTGAAGTCCGACATTAGTCTAATGACAAACGCTCACTAATGGATTACGAAATAAACAGGTCAATAATATACCATGGATAATGATGAAAACAACAATCTTCGAGTAAAATATTGAAGAATGTGGTCAATCATCTTTTTATTGTATACATACTATGTAGGATAAAAAACAAAAAACATTTATAATAAATACAATATGTAAAACATTCAATCATATTTTAGTTATGTTTAACACAATTACGTTAATTTTCATGGCGCACTCTTTGGGAACAGCCAATATAGGACATATTTTGATAAAGGCGTTTCTTTGTCTTAACCTTTAAAAAATCAACAAAGGGTTATTCCATAGACATTTAGACATGAAAAAAAGACATTCTCACCTATAATACAGCTTGGAAACTTGCTGAATATAATAGGTTCCTCTGGTATCGGAGCATTTTGTTCCAGGCAATGATCTTTATAGTTCATTCCAACACAAATTATCTGAGATGAATTGTGGATTAATAAGCGACATTTCAAGCAAATTTCATGTTACATATGTACTGCATCTATTATGGGACTAAATACAAAGTTATGGAAATATTGAATATCCCTCTGTAGAACTATGCCAATTAAAATCAGCCAGGGCAGATATGTGCAACTTTTTTTGTCGGTGAGCCATATAACCAACTTCAGACATCTAGCTGGACCACACAAAAAATTAGCAGAAAAGGCAAGAGAAGAGAATATGGCTATTGCTTAGCCTTACAGTAATGTATACATCAGGCAAAACAGCGTAAAATTCAACAATGCAACAAGAGCAAAAAAAACTTCAGGTATATTCATCCATGTGAGCACCTTTTTAAACGTAAACTGTTAGGATTTTATGCTTGAACATAAACAGATTAGGATTTTGTGACTGATGAGAATAATCTGAGTGTTGCAAGGAGTCATAATAAATTAGGTGGGTTGGGTTGTGGCCCACGGGCCACCTGTTGCACAGCCCTGATGTTGAGTATAGTAATTATCTCTAGGGAAAATTCACAAACATAGTTTGCTAATTCACTAGAACCTCATACAAAAGGCTAAAAACCATTAAATACCAGGGGTAAAACATTACAAAGCACCTTTTAAGTAATGTGGATATAAACACACAAGATGGAAAATATTTTCAAAACATATTCACTTGGTGCAAACAACATATGAAAATTAAATTAAAAATGAAATTACTTTATCAGGTCTTGTTACTGGAGACAAAAGTTTGATCTCACTCCTTGATATAATATGGCTCTGTGCGCTGGAGTATCTATAAAACAAAGTAAAGGAGTCTACTATACAGCAGCGTACATGCTGCTAAACTGCTAGATGAGTCAGTGGTTTTAGGATTACAGATTTATCTCTTTGGGGGGAAAGAAAAATCAATAAATAATACGTCTTAATCATGTGGCGGACCACGGCTTTCCAGTCTGATTACCAGCCCATGTCAGGTATGGGATTAGTTGGCCAGTTATTTGTTTTCAGATGCATGGACCGACCAGCGGTTAGGCGAACCACCCTGCAGCAGTAAGGAGTCCAGCAATCCTCTCGCACATAATTAAGCCTGCATGGAATTCGAACCCAAGGAAGGGTAATTAGAGGTGCAGTGGCGAGCATATTTTTAACGCTTAGCGCGATGAGCCAGATAGCCGGGCATTAACTAGATCAAATTGAAGACCCCAATCCTGCGTAACAATTACAACAGAATTACAATCACAAAAGGAAAACTTATATTTATAAAGCTTAACATTATTAACAAAACTAATATTCACTTTCTAGCTGCATTCAGTAAAGATTCTCCCTTTTCCAAGAATGCAACCATATTGTCAGGAAACTGTGGATCAGCATCAGTGAGATTGATGACATCACCACCATCTTTCAGTTCAATTCCAACCCTGTATTATGATGTAGAAATTTATTTTTTGGAAAACCTCAATAGAGAGTAGTTTAACCTCAATAACAAGTGCTCAATATGCAGTATAACTTGCGCCAAGTCCATCATAATACAATGATAGACACAATGACTTGTTTTAACTCATATACCATGGAAAAATTATTCCTATAATTTGCAATTCGACTTCATATCATTTGGCAGGACCTTCAGCCAGTAAAAATGAAGATCGAGTATTATATAAACACCTAATATTTCAATGTGACACGGGTTGGTTATTGAAAATGACTGCTGGAGCACTGTATGTCTATGTACATGGTTGAAATCATTGCGAAAGGCCACTGCTGTATTCCCATAAGCAGTTTTATGACATCACAAGTTGAAATTGCGACATCCATTTTTGATCACTTTCTAATTATACATTTATAACCACAAGTCAAGTAGGCAGATTATGTTGTATATTAGTACATTGAATATCCCAGTAACCATTGCCCTTTTACAGTTTTATGTGGGTATAACGGGAGAGAATTAAAATGCACCACGGTGACAGAACTACAGTCATTTTCTCAACATGAGATTGTTCTGCCAATCTACTTTCTGACTTTTCATATAACGATGATTTATTCAATACGTAAGACCTAAGACAGAATAATATTGCAATAATACTGACCAGAACAGCTTAAAATGTACCTACCTGAATATTTTAATCTTGCCGAGCGCACATTAACGGCGCGAAAACCATAAGATAACGAAACCAATTACAGAACTAGGCATTCACATTTTAACTAAACCATAAAAAATGACTCACTTTTGTTTATCTTGGTATTTAAACTGCAGCAGTCTCATTTTATTCGTCGCTGAAATTGAAAATTCTCTATTTCCAAATACCTTACAAAAAGCGTAGCAAACACGCCGACTAGCAAAGAACGTTTGTCTCAGCATAATATATTTGTTCAGCGATTGATTGTTTTGCAAGCGTTTGCAGAAGTACCGTGGTCACTGTGTCGATTATACCAGTTCGGTAATGGCCATATTTGGAATGTGGGTGCTTTTCGAATTTAATGCAACAATAGAAGTGGCGTAGTTCGTACCATATATGGCTAATTGTAAGCATATAGATGTTTAGATGGTAATATTTTACAGACCCATTAGCGCCAAACTAATTCAGTTCCCATTATGGTAAAATTGATATGATTGATTGATATTCGCGCATGTTTGGCCGTCAAGGGAGATAAAACGACACATTATTGGCTTTCGATTATTTCGTAATAATGGTGCACCTATTGCATAGTTTTTGATAACGGATTTTATTACAAGTATGCCCAGTAATAATAATCAGTGTCTAATAACCACAAAAGCCTTGTTCATAGAGTACCTAAGAATCAGATTATAGCTAAATAGTGGGCGCTCTATTCTAGAAGAATGTTTACCAATATGAAGATAACTAATTTTGTCTGCCTATTTTACATCAAGTTGTGTAATGTGACTGAAACTTATGGGCAAGGAGTATATTCACTTACCGATAGCTAACACAGACAGTCCTTGAACTCGTAATAGAACTAAAATAAGGAAAAATCGGAATAAAATTATGACCTAACCTGGTACACATACTATGGGAATACCCAAATGTGTGCATTTTGTGCTTTATGGTTTGACATAACCAATTAAGTCTCTAGCTCACTATCTCTCCCATTCAGCAAAATAATTCACTCAAAAGGCTGAATTCATTCTGAGACCAAAAATCCAGAACTTGTATTATTCACTTATATATATTTGAATAGATTGAAAGCAATTAGATAATTAGAAATTAAGATTTCCACCATCAATTGTACCCTCTTGGCAAAACTTTTGATATGGCTTATACTCAGAATTATACAGCCTATACTAAGTGTGTCCATTTTTCTTAATTAAATCAACATTAAATTAAAAAGTACAAGCTTCAAATATGTTTGATATTCTGAAGGTCCTGGTGGAATTATTACTTGCGTGGTGCCCCCATTACATAATATAAGAAAAAGACTATTTCTCGGAACTTTCACAAAAGCACAAACTTGGAACAAAAGAAACAAAGTGTACTATCATAAGCTGACATTCCAATGGCCTTTGTTTCTTGCAACAACAAAGCCTTATTCAAATAGAGAATAAACACAATATAAACGGAACTTTTGGCAAAATTAAACACATGAACACATAATGAAGTATTTCTATACTCAAATTCAGGCCTTTGAAAAGCAAAAAAAAAATAAAATAGACAAAATAACAATAAGACAGTGCACAAAACAAAGCATGGAATTTTCTTAACATAATCCAAATACAAAGTTTTACTGTTTGCAACAGCACCGTACCACAGCAACAAAAGCTTGAAAACATGATCACAGATATATTATTCAAACAATTAATTCACCAAAATTACTTGAAGAGTCGGCCAATATTGCCAGATAATTTTTAATTATCAATGCTCGACTCCTTACGGGTCACCATATATCAAGACTCGAGCCAGTGACACTCAAATCAGTGATTATTCTGAATTAAGACTTGTGACTCACGACAAGGGGTATAGGAACTTCTGGAGAATGCAAATAAAAACAAATCAAGCTTTGTAAAAGTAAACAGGCACACCAAGTTATTTTTTCTTGAAATATAATGGAATCTAAGGCTGGCAATTTCAGATTTATATTCATTGAGTATTTATGCTCATGTTAAGCAAAGACGAACAATGGATTGTGGCAACATTGAGTTTGATAATAGCTACAAAATGAAGTTAATATTAACTGCAAACTCCGCTGATTTATTTCGTAACTTGGTGCATGGCATGAGCAAGATATTCCACATTTGCCGATGAAACTCCTGCAACTGATATCCTTCCATCCTTAGTGAGATATACGGAGAAATCATTTGTTAATTTCTCAACCTGCTCTGGTTTAAGACCAGTGAAGCAGAACATCCCAATTTGGTCGGTTATGTGTTGCCAGTTATGTGTACTTCCTTCTTTTTTCAAATTGTTAGCAAGCTGGGTTCGCATAGAAATTATACGGTCAGCCATACTTTTGACTTCTAATAACCACTGAGCACGGAGATCTGCATCACCCATTATAGTAGACGCAATACGAGCACCGTGTAAAGGAGGGTTTGAATACATTGGACGGATAATAATTTTAACTTGGCTTTCGACGCGCTTGGCTTCCTCCTCGTCAGCGCAAACAATAGTGAAAGCGCCCACTCGTTCACCATATAAACCCATATTTTTAGCAAAAGACTGTGATAGTAAGATGTTATGCCCTTCGGAAACAAAATACCGCATCGCTTTTGCGTCTCGGTCAGTATCACCACTAGCGAATCCTTGATAGGCCATATCAAAATATGGAAGCAAGTTGCGTTGTTTACAGATTTCAGCCATTTTTTGCCAATCTTCGAAGCTCGGATCAACACCAGTTGGATTATGAGCACAGGCGTGGAAGAGTACAATATTATTTTCTGGGATTTTGCTCAAATCTTCTAAAGCACCAGCAGAATCGAACCCACAAGTTTCAGAGTCGTAATAACGATAAGCTTTTACATCTAATCCAGCATGCTTGAAAATAGGGGTATGGTTACCCCAAGAAGGAGTTGGGAGCCATACTGTTTTTGCATCCAAATATTTCGCAAGAAAATTTGCTCCAACTCTGAGTGAGCCTGTTCCAGATATCGTTTGAACTGTGACGTTTCTTTTTTCTTTTATGACATCACTATCAGGAAGGAAAGCTAGATCAGCTGCAGCTTTGAAAAACGCAGGCAATCCTGTGATTCCAAGATATTCTTTATCTAATTTTTGTCCGACGATTTTTTCTTCAGCTTTTCGAACAGAAGGAAGAACATACGGCTTTCCTGCATCGTCACGATAAGCACCAGCTCCCAAATTCATTTTTTTCGGGTTGTCGTCCCTTTTAAAAGCTTCGGTGACACCCAAAATTGCATCAGGAGGTCCCATTTCCACATTAGACCACCAGCAATGGTGTCCACATACAGAGGTTATTCGGGCTGGGGCACTTGTCCTCAAGACACTGCCAATTCTTTGAAACATTGCCATGGTTTTGCACAAGTTGATATTGATTACACAAAAACTCTAGAAATGGGACTTGCATTAGAAAAATAGCACATTAGTGATTACATTACTACGTCCTAGTAGGGCAGTTCTCAGATTCCAAGATCGCCTGACGTTTGGTTCAATTCAATACAAAACAAACACTCTATTTGTGTCTGAAACATGTTGAGCCCTAGATGTATTTTGTAATATTATCGTTAAGAAATCGTCCTACTTTGGTAGATTCAAATATACTAATATAGGAGCCGTGTGAAAAAAAATTTTGCATTGTTGACTGAGCAAAACTATGAATCATGATCGAGTATTATCTAGGCACCAATGCCACCAAGATTTGTATATACTATCGTGTATTTTGTTTGTTTAAGTTTGGCCCAAGCTTCATTTAATTGAGCTTGTGTTTTTGTGGGCGTGCTGGTGGGCAGGTACATGAGATACTTCTCATGTTTTAAACTCTTTTATAGGTTTTGCTTGCCCTCCAGAATTCTCCATTTTTAATTTATGTTTGTTATGGAGTTTTGGAAATAAACTATCTATCTATCTTTATTCCAAGAGAATAAATACCAGCGACCATTCGCCACTGCACACTTGAAAAATAATATGGCACATCAATCTTGAGATAACGCTTGATACATGAATAGCCTGATAGTACGAGCAAAGTGTATATTGAACAAGAGAAACTTATATTATTATTTGAGGAAAAAAGGTCGACTGAAAATTACTTCAAAGTCACTTAATTGTAACTCACACGAAATCTGATTGATTTTTATTATAAGATAAGATTTACATATTTATCCCGGGGGAGAGGAAAGCCGATTTGACGGCTTAACCATATGGCGAACCACGGCCTCTCGTCCGGTTACCATTTCATGTTGGGTATGGGATTAGTTAGGTATTTGTTTTTCCGAAGCATGGACTTGATGGTGGAGGAAGCCGTAACCGACCAGCGGATACGTGAACCACCCAACGGCGGCGAGGAGTCCAGCAATCCTCTCTCACATAACCACCCCGCATGGAATTCGAACCTGCGAACCCACGCAGAGTAATTAGAGGTGCGCATATTCGATATTCCTAACGCTTAGTGAGCCACACCGCCGCGCCAATAACAAACAGTGATGGTCAAATACTTTTATGTTTCAAATAGGTGCATCCCACACATTTGTGTTTTGGACCTATAGTCTTGTACATCCCCTCTACAACGCCAATAATTGCCACCTAGCCTACATTATATCTTGACCGCTTGCCTAACCCATATCCCACTCGTCAACTATGAAATGTCGGGGAAACTATCTATGACACTTCAGCAAACTTACTCTGATCAATCAATGATGTAAAACAAGTGTCATACAGCGCTCTATTGGCGTCATCAAACTCATAAATTTTGTCCTTGTATGATTGTGTCTGAGAAGATTATGATATTTGACAAAAAAAATATTTCAAGTGTTTATCGTGGTATTAATCCTCATAACTCGACAAAATCTATTATCAAAATATGTCATGTAAAACACGGCGAAAAAAAGGTTACGTAACGCAGTTTGAAAACAGTTATAAATTTTTAATTGATCATTGTAAACTTTTTTTAGTTTGCAAAATGAATACCCATTATTTTCACGATTTTTCACATTTTAACCATTATTATTTTCATATGAATTTTGTTAATTTTTTTTATGAGGAACACCATTTAAACCTGCGTGTGAAATATTTGCATGGTTGGATGTCATAACAAATCAGTCACGCTGCGAGAAGGATCTCTTCCCCTACTATGAGGGAACGCTCGCAGTCATGTTTTATCGCGGTTTACTAGTTTCTCGAAGAAATATATGCTGTACTGTAATTAATAATGCTAAGAAAGCTGCAAAAAAGGCACCAGAACCTACTTCAACACCCAAGATGCCAGGAGTAGTCCGTGACACACAATTGCTTCAAAAATATTGTTGCGGGCTCGGGTTCAAAGTTGATGAAGAAGATCCAGAATTGAAACCAGACAGTGAATATCCAGAATGGTAAGATTTTTTAAATTAAAATCTGCATTATATAAAAGACGATTAGGCAGTAAGTAGTCTAATCTGTTTATGAGCTATAAGTACAGAGGTACCTATCATACAGTTGAATAATTATAGACTAAACATCTATACAGCAACAGTTAAAAATATTCAAAGATTATTTACATAATATACTCCAATAGGGCAAACTTTTGGACAGCCCATCATATTAATCTTGGCTTGAGTATTTCCCAACAAGGTTGTTCAAAGCAAAGTTTCGACCCAAAGACCGTTAATGATCAGAATCAAGGCGACCTGGAGAGCAGGAGAGTGCTGATGTAAAAGTTACCTTTTCCCAAACTCTAGTGTGCAATGAGTTGGCACTGAAGATTTATGACCAAAATGAGGCAAATTATACGATTTGGCAGATTATACGATCTTCCTTGTCATTAGATGCGAGTTGGCATCGTATGGATGTGTTTATTGTTTTCTCGTCCACTTCTTTAAATTAAACTATGCCCATACCTCTATTTCATTTACAATAATATTGAATGTGTTGTATATTTTTAGGTTGTGGAGTATTCACACGGGGCCTCCAAAGACTTATAAGGACTATGATCCGAACACACGAGAGTATTGGTATGCCTTGGAAGAGGCACAAAAAGAACATTCAGAAAAAATAAAAGGAGAAAAATCATTTTATCGTCCACCTCGTGATACTGAACTTAATTTTAGAAGCAGGCTTCCTAAAAAGAAATTTGTGACGAAATGATATCAAAATTATGTTGTCTTTGTCAATTCGTTCGACACAAATTGGAGAGGTGTCACCAACAAAATAGCGTCAAATGATGAAAGCATGCGAGCATCATATGGATCGAATAATTTGCATATGGATCTTTCAGACTCCTTCAATGTTATATTTTTTTACTTATTTCCAATGTTTCGAACCAGTGGGGTGCGTAGCAAATAATAAAAATAATAACAATATTTGTTGGATTTGCTATTGCGCGCCCTATTTTAGATATTTACATTTACACTTATTTCCACTGAATAAAACATACTTTTGCCTTACTAACCACAGTTTTATACTCTTTTATTTTATGAATAATTCAGAACAGTTACATTTGGAGTAGAAGGTTTTGACCAATGCCCGGATGTTCATCATATGTACTGGTCAGTTTCAGATAGCTGTACGCTTGTGTAAATTCAAGATCGTAGCGAGTGTCTGTCGGCCAAGATAACTTGAGCAATTCTGCTTCAGCGTAAATTTAACCGAATAGATGGTAATATGCTGTAAGAGTCTTTAGCGAGGAATATCATAGATCCAAACTGTCCCTAGGTGTAGATAACGATTGTCTTGCCTTCAGAGCTCATTGATAGCCTGATTAAGTGATCATGAAATGTTCAAACCCCCTATGAGCTCCTGCTCAATATTAGGAAGAAAATCACAACAAATCACATTTTAAACCAAAACCAACATATTAAAGCACAACCGTCTCTGCTCTCTTGCACAAGTTATCTAAATAAACCTTGTTGGGAGCTGTGGAGTCTACCAAACAGATCTCGGTTCCACCTAGTATCTATCTCAATGTGACTAAATATAGAAACAATTTTGTTGATATTTTAATAATTATAAGCACAGTAATATATATAGATACAAATAATCAACCAAAATTATTGTATTTTACAAATGATAAGATGATTCAATATACTGATAGATGCAGCATCTGATTATGGATGTAGTGCTCCGAAGGAAAAAAATAACACAATAACCCTACAGATAGGATTATAATTATAGACTCATTGCACTATGAATTTAACATGGCTGCAGTCTTATTTTCAATCATGATGCCTCGAAACACAATTTGAACATCGTTAAAGTTTGGCAGTTTTTCAACTCATATTAGTTTAAGATTGACTATTCTGAAATGAATATAACAGAATTTAGATATCTTATAGGAGTCTCACTAGAAATTCCGCTCTTTGTAATAGGTAGAGATTGATAGAAAATCATATATTAGAACCATATCTAAGATATATTTCATGCAATTTAAAAATGACGCACCACCAAAATTCATTAAATGTTCATTATGCAGTATTTAATAACTGCAAACCATCAGTTAAAAAAAGCATGACAAAAAATCAAACTCCGTCCTCTTATATGGTGGTTACAGCTCATGTTGGCCATGTAAATATCTGACCAGTTTAAAGTGGTGCAAATGTTCAGTTGTTTGGCATTGCCTCAACTTAAAAAAAAAACTTTCATGGAACAATCTGACATTAGCCAACAAAAAAAATAAAATACTAATGGGCAGGGGACAATAAAATGTGGAAGCACTGAGTAGCAAAATGATAACCGACTAGCTTGTAGACAAGCAGATAACACCACATATATAACAATTTATACAAATATAGAAGTTGAATTATGTCATGTAGTACAAATCTCATTTCCTCTTCATCATATTTGTGATACGGACAGATCAATGGAACATAGGTGGCTGATATAATGGCCCGGTGGCTCAAGCACTGAGCCAAATTGGGCAAAGAGGTCATCGCAGAAAGAGATCTGTTTCAATACCCTATGCAAGAGCATAATGAGTAGAGTAGGCAAGTTAAACGATATAAATCCCAGTAGGTCCTTGGGCGCAAAAATATCTGATGCCTTGTCTGACACTTAATGAATGTTCATGTTTTAAAACTTGGTAATTGGTGATTGGTAAATTCAAAAGCTGTCTATAGGGTTGTAGAAAGTGAAAACTGACAATATGGAAAACACTTTTTTTAATTCAAATTGCCAATGAATGAATGGTATGTTGATAATAACATCTAAAATGTATGATCAAACCCTTTCTTTTCCCAAAAATATCCCAGTCCATACTCACCGATGATTAATATTTAAACATCAACAGGGTCAAAGTTCAACTTGTTTGGAGTTTTAGATTTTCTAATTGGTTTCTCAGGTGGAACTTTTTTCCCACTTCCTGGTGTTACTGGCTTCCACATCATAAGTCTGTTTGAATTGTTATTGTTACTGTTGTTGCTCGAACTGGATTGGATACTTGAAGAATCATCCTGGCAGAGAAAAAAGTGTTACTTAGTTGATTTCAGTCCCTTACCTAGTAATGAGATCGCATCAGAAATGAAGAAGTAAGAAGAACTGGAGTAGAAGATATAGAACAAACACATAGCATGAAAGGCCGGTGGGCAGGACATCTTGCGAGAATGGGCAATACAAGAGGGGCCAATACCACAACAGAAAAGGTCGCAAGGGAATAAAAACACAATTTTAGATTCCGGGATTACAACTCGCACCCAATTCTCATCCCTGTCCTACAGAGATTCCATGTTTGCCCTGCTATTTCTCTAACAGCGTTCACTTTGATTGTTTCATCCCCGCCACTATCTACTATCTTTCTCGTAAGCATGAAGATTGCGCTTTGGGGCGTCAGTGACTGTTTGATTCTATATTGGAATCTTTTCCATTTCCCCCCCGACTAATATATGAATACTCACACTGATACACTCACTGGTTAAATTATTTTATTTACGGGGCCCATTCATCTTTAGGGTTGGGGCAATGAATACTCACAAATAAAAGTATTTTGTATGCAGCCATCGATCTTTATCAATGCATTCACCATTTAGTGAGGGGGGGGGGGGGATAACTGAAGAAGGTTTCTATATTCAATATTTAGTATATTGTTAGAACTTTATTGTTAGAACTTTTTTATGTATAGAAATAACATTCACAAGGCATGTTTGGTGAACAAGGTATATTATCTCACCTCGGTGTACATCTTGTAAGTGGCATCACTCGTCATTGTTCCTGTGCTATCAATTGAATCGTGAGAATAGTTGCGGAATCGTCTGAAAATGAAGGAGTTCATGATGAACTACTTTCTATTAGATTTTTGTTGCTAATCTAAGATATCACAGTAATTTTTCCTGACTGGATAGAGTAATACTCAGCGTTACCATAAAACTCACAGCAAACCTTACCAACCTTGGCATAGATGTCTTAGGTGTATCTCCCGGAAAATGAGTCATTTTACTCCCCAATGTCCATCGACTTGTGTTGCACGACAACAACGATTCACAAGAAACGGACATATTTGTTGTGTCGGACAGAATCGTGCTCGATGAACCGATCGATGGACTTCGTTGCGTTCTTTTCGGTCTGGCTTGAATGTCGTCGTCTAATGATTCTTGTGAAGATGCAGCGAGCTGCATTCGACGTCGCTTGAGGCTGAGTGAGAAACGAAATATAAGATATTTTGTACAAAGCAAATATTAAGCTTGGGAATGTTTATTTGAAATCTGTATGTTGCTAGAATTGAGGAATTGAGAATCGTGCAACAAACTGATTAACATCAATTCTGCTTTTTTGCACTACAGGAGACATAATATGTGACGGGGAGAGGCCATGTTATTGTTATTTTAACTAAAGTTCTCTACTAATAACACGGTGCCAAAATTATGAACAAATTGTAATCTAAAAACTTTTTAGGTCATGGTTTATTGGTCATCATCAAATATATATATATAAATCACTTTTTTGACTTGAGCAGAAATAATATTTTAAGAAAAAAATAAGAATGTTATGCCTTGACTCAAGCAGGACAGAAGGTTGAGGGTTTAATGGTAATTCCATGCTTGAATATTAATATATGAATATCACAAACCATGCTTTTTGATCATCTTTATTTTCCTTGCTTTCATCAGAAAGATCCATGTTTCCTTTACAGCAGAAGACTGTTATTTTGCCACCTTCATTCGCACTGAAATATGCGGCCCCTTCTGTGATTGCCGGGCCAAGATATCTCGGACTATGAGAGAGAAGGAATTTTATAAAATGATGGAATTTGAAAAAAACATTGCACCTTACAAAAAAATACTTCGAACATGGCTAATTCAAGTAGGTACCGTAGTATGTGTACCAGGTTAGGGTTTGGCCATAATTTTATTATGATTTTTCTTATTTTAGTTCCATTACGAGTTTGGGGACTGTCTGTGTTAGCCAAGTGAATGCCCATAGGTTTCAGTCCCTTCACATTACACAACTTTTTGAGGTTTTGAACTATCACTTGGAAACAGGCTCTTGCATGCTTTAGGGAAATAATAAAATCAGCATTCTCCATCACTTAAACTACAAAATTGGAGAGTTACCTTGTTTCTGTGTTGAAAACAAAAGAATTATCAGAATTTAAAAATTCGAAGCAAATAACATAGATACTACAGAGTTGTCGCTGGAAAACAGAAAATTTGTTGAACAGCTATTTATTTTTACAAGGAATAAATTTTACAAAGTTTTTTAAAGGCCTACGTTGTAGTACACATAATATTACAGAAATCAAATGGTACCTAGAAAGTATTAACCTAAAACAACCTAGAACCTAAAAGAAATAAAACTGTATCGAAAAAGAAAACCCATTTTATTCGCGACTTCAAATTTTATGCTTTTCTAGTGACCACCCTGCATAATAGATTCAGAACTTACCTGGGTAGGTTAATATAAGATTGTTGAGTTGTCAAACTATCATTATAATCCTGGTACGGAGAAATTCTGATAATTTCAACAGAGTGAAAATGTGTTATGATCAGATATGGGCTCTTGTAAGCTGTGAATAAGAAGAATTATTTGATCAAGATTCATATTTAGGGGTAGCAGGGAAGGGGCAGCAGCGTTGAGGGCCAGAACCTCCCCTCCTCCTGAAATTTTGAACAAAAGCATTTTTTTGTAGTCCACAGTCCTCAGTGCTTCTCAGTTCAGTTCATGTATGTTGATAGGTCTAGTGATTAACACATCACGCAGATAAGTGACAGTACAGGCTTATACTTACCAAAGGATAACGGCAGACGAGACCACACCATATTCTCCTTCCTTGTTCTTTTACCAAAACAATCAACAAAAACTCCAAACTCTGAAAAAAAAATTCAGTGTAAATTAGATTCAGAGAAGCTCACAGCCAAAATTAATTCCATGTGCAGCCATATTAAAGGACCTAAGTTTTTACTTAAAATGAACATAGTCGAAAAGAAAAAGTAGATAGCTGTGTCTTGACCATTGAAGGTAATATGAACATTCGATACATTCAAAATTGGGTAAATCTACATACAGAAATATTCTGAGGAATATTTCAGAATATTTTTGATTGTAAATTTGTCATTAGAGATGACACTGCGGAAAAAGAAGATCATTGTAGCTTGAAAGGACTGAAATTTTCTCGTTTGGTATTGCTTACCCAATTTATCACATCCTGAGTGAGATGGTGGGTATGGGATTAGAACCCGAGATTTTGAGGCTGTGATGTCATAATATAATGCTCCAACCATTAACATTACGTTTTAGTCTACTGATCGACGCTACATGTATGTGTTATAGTAATCTACTGAAAGAGTCTTTTAACCTGATTCAGACGCCCAATCGAGCCCAATTTTGAATACATTTTTATTAATGTCATACGACCCCCAAAATTTACCCAATATACAATAATTATATACCATTGGAAAGGTATTTTAGAGTACTATACGCTAGATGTCACTGGAGGACCGTAAACTAAAACACCTCTTTCAAGAGGTCTTTCGTAACGTCAAAAAATAACAAAAATATTTACACTCTCTCATTCTATCAGCTGTTGGACGTCTACAGCTATTGTAAAGCTGAAATGTAACTATACAGTTGACTACACATTGGTTTTCTCTTTCATATGATACTAAACGCTTTTCCATAGCGCGCGTTGTTCAGGCGTTTTGGAAATTTTCCGTTTGAGAAGTCACCACATCGAATCAGGCCAGGCTAAGCTTGATAGATCGATCGGTTGTTTGTTTGTGCTTTATCGCGTTGAAAGCTTTTGTGAGTCATAATAAAACATTTATTATGAATCATAAAAGCTTATAATCGTCAGACAAGGAGAATTTGCGAGATAAAACGCCTAACTTTTTTTCGGTGAGGCAGCTGCGATCAAACGACTCGATATTTTTATAACTTCCTGACGTTGTGAGATGTCCACTCTCCTATGTTATGTAGCATACAAAATGACCTTCAAAATAAGACCTTATCATACTAGCTTTTGTTATTGGTTAGCGCGCAACGCCAAGGTTTATGGAATCATTTTCTTGTTGTGCGACGTTTTTATATCGCAGCGGGAAGTACACGCGTGATATGTAAGCGAAATTTTATCACTTCTAAATGTCATATAAGGTTCATTCTCATATCGTTGTGTGGGGAATAAGATTTCCTTTCAAGCAAGACCATAACAAACATTCCAGACTTCATGGTATACACACAGCATTGCAAAACGTCTGAAACGTCGCGCATGCGTCAAACCGGGAGGATTAGGTTAAAGCGAAACATACCATGGTAACATAACAAGTATTCATATTTTCCATTCTTTTCTCCAATTTGTAGAACAGACACTGGAAACGAGTCATGATCGAAAGATAAGGACCTATCGACTAAATCAAGAAATTCTGAAAGAAAAGAGTTGAATTAAATTGTAAAATACTGTTTTGGTAACTAGTTATGGCTGGTTTGATAACTGGTTATGGATGGTTTGATAACTGGTTTGGTAATTGATTATAGCTGGTTTGGTGATTGGTTATAGCTGGTTTGGTGATTGGTTATAGCTGGTTTGGTAACTGGTTATAGCTGGTTTGGTAACTGGTTATAGCTGGTTTGATAATTGGTTATAGCTGGTTTCATAATTTATCTGCTTGATGAACATATTTGACTCCCCAATGTAGCAAAGCCTAACTCGTCAGCACTGCAAGTACTTGTACACTAGGTTATTCGACTTTAAAATTGTGACTCATGTCAAGTAAACCAGAAAATAACGTAACAAATACAAACAATTATGAAAACAATTCATCTTCCTCGATACGACTTCCTCAATTGTGTTCGATTTCGTTTATTTAGAATTTCTGAAACTGTTTAAGCTGTAGGTAGGTCAACTCACCATCGACTTTATAAGACTTTAATTCAATTTCATAAAACTTATTTGTTCCCATAATAATACTGCACATTGTGAATTGAAGGCAAGTACATGGCTCTGATGTTGAGATTTCCTGGAAATAGGGAAAGAAAAGTTGACAATATGTGTAAATTTTTTGGCAAACTGAAACTCCTTTCAAATTCATTTTCAAATTTGTGTGTATTGAATGAAGTAAAAATACTTAAACAATTACTGATTAATAAAACAACCAACCTGGTTAAAATATATTGAGAACCGACTTCATAACAAAATTGAAATTGTGAAGGGATTTGATGGATACCCTGATCCTACCAATACACAGTTTAAAAGAGATTCACCTTTCGTTTCACAAACTTTTTCAATTGCGAATTGAACCTATGGATTTGTATCCCAGCTGCAGTAGCTGAGCACAGGTGAGGCGCCCCTTCTACTGATCCTACAGCAAATAGATGGCAGCTTGATAAATCGTCAACAGGAATTAGTTTCACAGACATTTCAGATGGCTTTGTAGATGTCATCAGCTGAAATTTTGAATACGTGTGCTTTTTCACAAGAAGTATACTAAATGTTTAAAATGACTGTTTGTATTTTTATTTAATAATATTAGTTATCTATAAGTAGAAACTGATTTGAGAAAACATTAGGAATGTGAAAAACGGATTGAATATACAAATTGATCCGGAATTGTTTATTACTAAATTCTCAATTATAGGAATAAATTATAATCAATCCACACTTCAATAAACAAACCCAATTTCTGTACAGCGTAAAGCAGGGGTTAAATTTAATTGAAGAATCGTTTCGCGGGCCGCACATTATTCAAAATTGGCATTTCTCCGCGGGTCGAACAATTTTTCCTCGAGGGCCGCAGGTTGCACACCTCTGGCATTCCAATCTTTTCCTACTCAAACTTCGAGTGAAGGAGGGAGATGAAGAAGTTCAAAATATGCGCAAGAAGAAATGCATTGAAAATGTTGGAACCACTGCACTAAATCAAGGATAAAATTGAATTCTAATGAAATGAATAGCAGCACTTACATTATTGACATCAAACGTAACAATTCTTCGTTTCGGCCCTTCAATTGCAACAATGAGGTTTGGAGATTTCAAAAAATTCATTTGTAAAATTTGTTGTGCTCCAGTGACTTTGGTCATGTGTGAACGATCACTGACGGATGACGTACTTGGTGATAAAACGTACAATCCTTCGTCACATCCAAAAATTACTTTCTGAAATTAAGATAGAAAACAATAATTATGGATTAATTAAACACACCAAGGCAAGGGTTCTTAACCTTAGTCGTTAAATTACTCTTTTCGCCAATTTTTGCACATTCTTGTTATTTGGGATTTGGGTATATTTGGGATCCATGTTTACAATCAATCTATATGTACAAAAAATACCAAGTAGTACAGGTATACAGTATGTTACAGTACACCACAGCAGTCTTCATGACAACGAATCCAAACACAGAACCCCCACAAGATGGCAAATTTTTATTTTGACGATGTCATTTCACCCCAAAAAACTTTCAATATATGAACTCACCTCTTTCGATATAGGCAAGGAACAGTTGATTTCAAGCTTCTCATTCACTTGCATTGTCACAATTTTATTTCCAATGATTTTCTATAATATAAAAAGTAAAGGGCTGAAAGGTGAACCTTGGGGTACACTATGGTAGGGTACCACCAGGTTTTTAGTAAGTAAAATAATAATTACTGTAAATTTAGGAAGTTGCAATGGGATCTTCGTTTAAGTTTTCAACAGCTATAGACCACGGCACAATACACACTAGAACTGCAAGTATGCAACAAGTAATGCCAACATGATAACATTAACAGAAAATTATGAAAAAATCAGAATATCCAACAATTGAATAGTAGTGGTTAATGAGAGCTCATTTACTTAGCAAAGGCTGGTTTTCAGTAAGTAAAATATTAGTTTACGTAATTTCTGTACGAAAAATGCAATGAAATCTTTTAAACTTTATTATCAGCTATTCACAGCACAATACACATCAGAACTGCAACCAGTAATGAAAACAGGAAAACATTACTCAATTAAAAAGACCATAAGGCGCACTATATATATATATTTTTTAAATCAATCGCGCCTTGTAAGTCCGTGCGGGTAAATGTATGGAAAAGACGGTGTTTATTGCCTCCACTCAAAACTAGAACAGTTGCGTATTATAAGCTGAGGGCGTTCTATGTAGGATCAGGTTGTGCTTTAAGCTTTATTGCCTACACCAGTGCTCTTCAACCGGGTATACGGATCATAAGTTGGGTATATAACTGATAAAGGGTATACGAAGGGTGTACACTGTACAGCCTAAGTCAGGGATTCTAAAAACTAGTACCTGTACCGGTTGAGTCTTACAGTCCAGTGTTCCCTATGTATGACTAACAAACAAACCAAGCAATTCAATGGCCATGCGGCTTATGTGTGAATAAAATTTGTGGCTAATGGTCCATAAGATACAGAAATAAACAATTGACAAATTCAAAAATTTCTGAATTATCTACCAATCAGTGGGAAAATTATAAAAAATTTTGACAGTTTTCAAATCAAATTCTTACCGATTCGTTGATCACGCTTTGGGTGACAGAATTTCGAGTTGTTATAGCTTCAAGAGCGCTAACCCACTTTTGTTTGTCAGTGAATCCACTTGATAAGAAATATAAATTTCTAGGTGGCCAGCAAGATGTATCGGGTCCAAGTTCAAGTTTGAATACGTAAGGAATATCTGGAAGGTTGCAAAACATTTATGTATGGATGTGTGGGCGAGGGACTAATCGCAGAGGTCCCAATCGGAGATAAATTTACCCCTCTCACGACCATACAACTGACACGTTTTTAGAGGGAATTTGTCTGAAGCAGTGGCCTCGGGTACCTACTCGAAAATTAAAGAGATGATCTCAAAGTGAAGCTACAAAGGACCACTAATATACCCATAGATACTGACACTATAGATAATTATAGTGTGAAATTGCACGTTAGCAGACACCACTTGACGCGAGACTTGAAGCAATTAGTATCTATTTGATCAAGAAAACAACTATGTTGTAGTGAATTCCAAATAATCCCCACCAAGGCCACTGATTTTTATCATAAAACGAAAAGTGGGTGACATTACAGGTTAAAATCTCTAGGTCGAATCTCATGCCAACCACCACACCCCCGAGGGGTAATAAATTGGGTAAAGCTTTATACAAGTGTCACCATCAAAATGCCACATAAAAAGGAAAATACGCTCTATAGCAGCAATTCCCCACTGGGTGGCCACAGGGCAGTTAGAGAATGGCCACCATGCCCTGCGCAAAACTGAATTTACTTTTCCATTTAGGAAAATACCCCGTTTATCCTAGTTCATTGATTGATGAGACTATTTGGTTGACTGGTGAGCATGAATTGTTTTAAAATATTAGGATTGTAAATCTACCAACAAAAATACTACTGTAATGATAACCAGGGCGCCATGAGTGCTAGAAGCCTTCGAAAGATGGCCACGCGCCTTAAAAGGCTGAAAAGCACTTCTTCATAGAGACTGTACGTTTCAATTCGAATATTCAAGTATCCGATTGTAAAACAAAAATGTTAGAAGCTGAAGGATAAACTCTCACAAATAGAAAATCTACCTGCTTTAGCAGACGACTCAAGTTCAGATACCGGGACAGTTGAATGAACGTATCCTTGTTGTTTGACTAGATCAATTATTTCTCTCTCTTTATTGCTGACGTCAATTTTTAATTTTTTTGATGACGACAAAGGTTTCTCTGTATTGCTTATAATAACAACACCATCTCGCAGTTGAACGAATTTTCTCTCCCAAGATGTTCCGCCACAGAATACTAAAAATAAATATTTCATAACACAATAATTTTATCCTTTTTTGAAAAACGTATTGAATAACAACCGCACCACAATGGTACATTTCCAGTTTTGACCTTTCCTGCTACCTACCACAGCAAAAGCAAGGTAAATGACTTCGTTAATTAAACATTAAGGACCATTATCAATAGTGTACAGCAGTGGTTCCCAACTTTTTATGGCCTCCTTCTGGAGGCTTTTAGCACTCATGGCTCATGTTTATCATTCCAGTGATACTTTGATTGGTAGATTCAAAATCTATCTATTATGTTCAAACAATTTAAGCTCAACAAAGTGAAAAAACCCTGTGAAATAACCAAATCGAGCAATGAACTTTTGAAGAGTGAGAGTAAAATCAGTTTCTCGCCTCGCATTGTGGCCCCCGTCTAACTGCTCTGTGGTCCCTTGGGGGGCCACAGTCCCCTAGTTGAGAACCGCTGGTGTACAGCAACCCAAGACTCACCTTTAAGCCAGCCTTGAGCATTCCCATCTGTCTCACTCCCATTAGTAATGCAGGAAACAGGAGACGCTGAATGAATTTTGCTTCCTCCTTGCTTGTAATGTTGCACCAGACCACCTTCAAAAATACAGCAGAGCAGATTACTTAACGATCATTCATATTTATATCACAAAACTTTTTCAGGACCCATTGACGGCGACAAACTACGATAGCGAGCGGGATTAGTGGCGAAGCCACGAAAGACTAAAAAAGTTGCTAATATCACATTTCCTCAGGTTTCATTTGTTTTAATTTCTGATCTTTTTGTCAGTATGACGCAATTATTTAGTAAGCATCTTTCTTTATCCACTGACAAACAATCTGCAAAATTGGTGGATGTGTACAAACATGCCAAAAATATTTTTGAGTTGAAAAGGTATCTGACATTGCCAAAAATGTATCAATGTCACATTGTTGCGGGCTTCATGCTGATTGTTACGGAAGTAAGAGAAGGAGCCATTGCTCGGGAAACATCCATTATGCACTGTAACGCTAAAATATCACAATCAAGGTTTCAATGCTCACCAGGTAATCCACAAGTGCTTGTCATGTTGCTTCTACATTTAATATGACAAGCCGAATGGCATTCAGTGCATTTGAGTGACATTCGACCAAATCGAACCGTATCCAGACAGACAGAACATTTTGTTGTTTGAATACAAAGGTTTTCAACAAGCCTGTGGATAAAAAATTTAAATTTAAGCGAGGGAAAACAAAAGTTGTGCTCGAAAATTATACTGTAATAATATGTTAACGGCACATTTCCCCAACCATATTATCAAACGCATAACCAATGTTAGAAATTTCACATGAACCAAGGATTATATTACTTATCAGACAACAAACAAACCACCTACTATTATTTTTGCAGAAGAAGTTTAGGTGCGTACAGATCATTTGAAGATAAAGTGGATATGATGATGTTTTTTTCTGGGTTACGATCGACATAAAACTTTGGGCAAATGATTAGAGCAACATTTGAAATTCAGATTTATGGCTAAATCGCAGTTAGATATTATACAATAGTACAATGCAGATACTGTCCAAGTTATACAACAAATTAAAACATTTCCATATATAATATTACCAATACACAGCAGCTTGCAACTTTCGATATACCAATGGCTTACCAGAAACTTAGTTAGGAGTAAAGTCGCAAAAAATGCAAAATTACCAGAATGCATCACAACCATTTCAAACCGGTATTAACTGGATTTACCTGTGTGGTATATTGTGATGCATCCTTGGTTTAGAACGAGTGTTGCCAGATAGTGGAGTCACATTTGTATTAGGAGATTTAAGAAGTGCTGATATTGCTGCCATAGATCCAGGACTTAATGCTTGAGAAGATGAGGAAGGTGTGGCACCTGTTATTCCATGCTTTAACCTGTGAACTGTAGAAATAAAAATAGAAATTACAGCAAAGCCCAGATACAGGGTGAAAAAAAAACTTTATTTCTGGAAGTATTCATAGAAAGGGATTTAAAATGAATATTTGTTTTTTGTCTCACTCTGTACTATTCAAACATATTCTGTAACATATTCTGTATATATATATTTATAGCATGTTGAATATATGCCGGATCAATGAAGGAATTGGAAGTTTTGGACCTCCAGAAGTATGCGCACCAAGATGGCGCACAACCTGAACATAGTATGTATGTACCGGTTAGGATTCAGGTTGTGTGACATCTTGGTGCGCATACGAGTCCAAAAGAGAAGAATACACATTCTGCCTCTTTTTCCTCATTTTTCATCGTGTCAGAAGTTTGGTGAAGTCAATTTTCTGTCTAATCAATGGATGACAAATGCTTAAAATGACAGATTTCCAAATGTAAAGATACAAAATTATTACTTAAATTTCATTCATATCAAATTTAATGCAGTTTCCCCAAATTTGTTGACTAATATATGTTATTGTATTATATGAAGATGGGTACATAATATTTTGTACATAACAAAGTGAAAGCCACTAGCTAAAAATCGATTCCAGATTTGAGAAATAACAAAAACAGAGTGTATGTCCTGTGTAATAAATCAGGCGAATGGAGGAATATATGGATAAAGGTTATGAACCAACTTCCTATCCAATTCAAAGTATCAACAATCTACCATCTGATTTAGTGTCCTGTAACTCCGTTCTCAAATCGTTAACTTTTTGTTGGAGTTGTATGTTTGTTTGTTTCGATTCTTCCAACATGTCTTGTAGTTCTCTGTATTGAAGCGGAACTTGGTACAAATCATTCTTTTTCTGAAACAAAATTTTTGATTTTTCTTGGCATTACACTAGACGCTTTTCAATAGTAAAATGCTTTGAATTTTTGTTCCCTACGCTGTCAAAAAATTAAGAATATAAAATGGAAACTATCAAATACCTTCTTCTTTTTCTTATCGTGCGGTTCCAAACTTTCGACTTTGGCTTGCAAGAAATCAATGAGTTTGCTTTGTTGTCCGAGAGTGCAGTTCATTTTAATGCTTTCGTGAGATTGTTTCATCTAAATGTAGCGATACAATTAGAAAAATTTTTTTTTCGGCAAAATGAGTAATTCAGGAAACAGAGGGGGTGTCATGTATTGCCGAAACAGCATATTCTACAATTCCAAATAAAATTTGAAATAATATTTTTGAAAATGGATTATTAAAAATATGTTCATCGAAGGACATATAGAAGACAATGCTTACTCAATGATTTTGCTTTAGGAGAACAAAAAAGTTGATTTGGCTGTTTTTATTAATAGTTTTCAGATTTTATGCAGACTAGAATATTAGATTCTTCTGCCTCTGGCATCTACTATTCCAAACTGTGCAATTTTGACCAAAGTTTGAAAAAATTCCATAAACAGAAACTCTTTTATATATCGGTGCCCCTTATCTAGAGCCTAGAGCTAGATAGTCACCTTCATAGTGTCAAAGTTATTCTGCAAAGCTGTTTTCTCGTGAGCTAATGCATCAGCTCTTTCTATCTCAGATCTGAGTCCGCTTGATGTTTGTTGACGAACACTTTCCAATGTTGCCATCCTACTTCGAGAATTTTCTGCATCTTGCCTGTATAAAGTAAAATTCAAGGTGCTCCAGAAGTATGTGTACCAATATGGAGGTAACTAATTTTGTTCGCCTACTCTACGTCAAGTTGTGTAAAGGGACTGAAGCCTATGGGCAGGGGATATTCACTCGGCTAACACAGTCCCCGAACTCGCAATAGAACAAAAATATTTTTAGTATTTTATTTTTATTTAATTCATTTAAAATGTATGTACCTGTATCTTTCTGACATATCCTTCTCATTGTTGAGTTTCTGTTGCAGAGAATTTGCATTCATTTCCAGAAGTTTATATTTTCTCTCCAAATCTGAAAGCTGAAATAAAATTTAAATATCATTATTTTTTAGAATGTATACTTGGAAAAAGGGTTTTAACAAGACATCAGTTAAATTATAGAAAAGTAAATTACTTTGATAAGACTTTGGTCAAACAAGGTTAAACTCACTAACTCAGAGGTAAAGAAGATTCATGTCTAAGTTACAGACAACTCCAGAAGTGCCGAAATATAATGTATATGTAGAGATTTACAGAAACAGATTGCTGTAACACTTGAAGGAGTTAATATGATCAGGACAACAGCTACAAGTTAGATAATTCGGTACTTCCGTAGTATGTGTACCAGGTTAGGGTTAGGGAATAATTTTATTTCGATTTTTCTTATTTTAGTTTTATTACGAGTTTGGGGACTGTCTGTGTTAGCCAAGTGGATATACCCCCTGCCTATAGTAATCAGTCCCTTTACACAACTTGATGTAAAGTAGGCAAACAAAATTAGTTACCTCAATATTGGTACACACACTTCTGGAGCGCCGAGTTTGGGTAGAGCAACATGTGTATAAATATGTCGTTAATAAATTTATGAGGTGAATAATATTTTTTAGTGTTCACTTTGCAAAATCGTTTCGATCCAATAAAAATCTCACCTCATCCTGCAACTCTTGAACCTTATTTGCTTCTTCTCGAGCTTGCACTTGTAATTCAATCATTTCTTCGTCAACGTTTTCTTTTAATTCGACACCTCGTCTTTTCTCTAGCGCAATCGTGTGTTCTAATTCACCCAGTCTTTTCATGGCATTTCTAGAATCTTTCACAGCTTTTTCTCTGTCGTGAAATTAAGAGAGACGAGTAGAACATATGAATAATAACAGGAAAACATGAAAGAAAACTTATAAAATGACTAATAAATCAAAATCAGTTTTGATATCAGCACAGTCTATTTTTTTATGGCCGTATATCTTCACATATAAAGCGATCTCACATTAAAAGCCTAAAAACGACCCCAAAACGGTGAATTTAAAATAAATTGCATATAAGCAGACCCAACAAATCATACGCTTTTACCGTGGGGCCTTAGCATGGGCAGCGTTGCAGCTGTTGACGCAAGGTGGGCTGGAAATCCAGTTCACAGCCAAGGCGCACATTGACCACGTTTACGGTTGTATTATGGCCACCAAAAAAGAGAAAAAATATATATTTAAAATGATTCAACAGCTATCTGCGGAACCATTGGGCACAAAATATGAGCTTCGACGTATGTTTGTGAGCGCACGATGCTGTAGCATGGTCAAAAACACGTTTTTCTGCTTTTCCATTATGACGTCACGGACTCGGCAGATTCGAGTGCTTGACCTATTACTCGGATTCGGCGAATCTCTGTAATGCAGGACTCGTCCCATCCCTATTGGCTAATATGCGAGGTCATACAATAATATATTTGAAAGAGTTAGAAATTATCTTTTTCAGAGTAAAGAATTCTGCAATAATAATAACCCCAACAATCGTATATTTGTATATAACCATACTATATAGACTAATCAATGGAGTAAGGAATATGTTTCTTACAGATTAACCAAGTCTACACCTGTCGCGCAATTTAAAAATGATGTTTTCGCATGTACAGTCAATGATCAAGAAGATATATAAAATAATTTTAAATATTTAAGCATCATAATTTATAAAAAAGTGCAGTTCAGTTCAATAGTTCTTACTTTTCTTCAGACAGTTCTTCCTGGTTTTTCATGAGTTGATTGTTAATGTTTTCAAGTCCAACGATTTGTTCTTCCAACATAACACAAGTTTGTTTCAGAGTTTCCAAGGCCTAGAAAATTTATTTTTTTTGATGATGAACAATGTTTTCGTTCATTTTAAAAAAAAAAAAAAAATAGAATGCGTCTTAAAATATCATTCGATACTTCACGATTTATTTATTGAAATTACAAATCGAAAGAAATTTCTCAAAAAAACTTTAAAACATTATCATTATCCGAATATCATATATATAATTACAATATCATAATTGAATAATGTTTATTATAATCATTATATGCGCAACATCCAAATATACAGCATTAGAAATCATAAATTTTCTAGATAATCAAAATTCGTCAACCGGAAATCTGGCATTACATAATATTATCTCTTCAACGAAGTATTTTAGGGTTATTAAATTTTGAGACATTTTTCACCCCAATATATTTATTTCTAAAGTATGATTATTATATGCAAACATCTGAATAGAGAGCAGTATAAATCATACTTTTCTAGATCATCAAACTTCGTCAACTGACAATCGGGCATTACATAATATTATCACTTCAACGAAGTATTTAAGAGTTCATGAATTTTTGAAATTTTTTTCCCCAGTACTTCCAATTCCTATTACTGACTTTCTCAGTTTCCTCCATTTTTTCTAGTTGTTCTTTATTTTCATTTTCATATTTTTCAACCTTCCTATTTGCTCCTCCCTTCTCACGAGTTGACACTGCAAGTTTCTCGATTAAGGAAGCATTCTGTTCCTGAAATAGAAATAAGAAAAAGTAATTCCATTTCTTATACAAAAGATTATATATCTCCAGATTCGAGTGAACCAAGTTTTGATAAAAAAAACTTTGACATATGCATTACTTTACCGATTGTCTGTTGAGAATGCTTACTCAACTTGAAGTGTTAGTTTGTTTTTTCGAAATTTCTGATTTTAATCATCATCAAAAATAAGAGTCTTTAATTGCAACTCAAGAAGAATTCAATAATCCAACTTCAGTAAGTTGGAAGAATACAATTATAGTCTTACGGCAATTAAGACATGCCATACTCCAGAGCATACAGACTTGTACCAAAGCATGCAGTGTAGACTGCACATATGGCAAGTACTATCAATTGTCAGCAGTCAAAAATATCTTTGTAGTTTCAAATTGAACAAAATTGTATTACTGACCTGTAATTGCTGACATTTCTCATGATATTCATCTAACTGTTCTTCTAGTGTTTCAATAACTGTGCAATTCTCCCTTAAAACGTCAAATTTTTCTTCAAGAGCAGCCTTCTCATCCTAAAAAGAACACACCAGAATACAATCTCAAAAAAATCATCTCATGTCAAATTTTGCACAATATTTTCTTTATACAATGCCAATTCGTGTCTTCAACAAAGAACAAGGTGCAAGTGTGCAAGAATTCACGATTCCATTACATTTGAACCCACGCACATTTGAACCCTTGACAATTGCAACTGCATATTTTGCACCTATGGGATTTTTTTTTGTTTTACGGATATTTGAACCCATACTAACCCTAACCCATGGGTTTTAGCACCCGTATATAGATTGAACCGATGGATATACATATGGGTTCAAATGTACGGTCACCAGAATTCACTGATGTCCAACAATACAATACATTCAAATACAATACATTCGATTTTCGAAAAGACCGAAATCATTCTTGTTCATTGCATTGCTCACCCAATTTAGCACACTCTGGTGAAGGGCATTGCATTTGCGCATGTAACCTGGTTTTGCCTCACAAAAAAGCCTTTCCACTGACCTCTATATGGATACAAAATTTTACAAACAAAGTAGTTTTAGAGATTTAGCGGCGTCTTGTGCCAAACTTGTCCCAATTGTATGAATATCATTTGACCCTCGATAATTATATCTAATCTAATCTACAACATAACATGAATCCCACTTCACATGCTCACTTCAACAATTTACCTAACTATAATCTACGCAAACTCTGCACAATGAGAGATGTGTGACATGACAAGTGTTAGACAAATCTTGAACAAGTGTGATGAGAGGGGCAAGTGTGGAAAAGGAAAATGGGAAGAAAGTGTGGGACCCCACCCCACATATTTAAGACATCAGTTATTAAGATTATCTGTATTTTTACATTAGCTCTACTTCAAATTTTTTGATCCAAGTAATCACATGTAATGTGAATCAAAATTGGCACAAATATTGAATTACCTTTGCAATTTCTAGCTCAGTTAATGCTTCTTCCAATTCCTGTTTCAATTTTTCAATGTTCCCTCTCTCTTGTTCTAATTGCTCAATGTTCACTTTTTCCAATTTTTCTTTTTCCTCAATCTGAAAGATTATGAGGAATAATTATATTAGAAAGAAAGAAATTTTTGAATTTAACCTAATTTATTCAACTACAAATTCTGATTTCAATTCAAATTTTTTACCTGAAAAATATGGGCGCTCCAGAAGTGTGTGTACCAATATGGAGGTAACTAATTTTGTTCGCCTACTTTACAGCAGGTTGTGTAAAGGGACTAAAACCTATGGGCAAGAGGTATATTCACCTGGCTAACACAAACAGTCCCCGAACTTGTAATAGAACTAAAATAAGGAAAATCGGTCCTAATGAATTTGCAAATTAAAAAAAAATATATTTTTACCTGCTTCTGGAAGTCTTCCTCCGCCCTTTTACACATCGTTACTGAAGTTATGTTCTGAGCTGCAAGTTTTCTTTTCGTCTCACTTAGTTTGTCCTACAAATAAATGCAACGTTGAAAAAGAGAAGCATGAAAAATTTTTTGATTGTTTCCAAACTTCCCGAAGTTGATAGCCTGTGTTAAGTTTTTTGAAGTCCGAATTGCAGATTTCGATGGTTTCATTTTCAACAGAAATAAATTGAGATTCTATTTTCAGCAATATAATTTCAATATGTATTCGGAATTGTAAACTATTCGGTTTTAACCAGCCTCGATCTATAATAATTGTAGTATACTAGTATCACCTTCCTCAAAAATACTTGATGATTTCATTTTAAAAATTCATTTAGACCAGTGGTCCGAAAGTTGATCGACTAGGAGCCGAAATTAGAAGCGGATAGATCGTCGCGAGCCAAGAGAAGGGAGCGCCCACAAAGCTCTGACATCAGAACTGGTATGTATAACTAAGATACCGGTATATATGAATTGTTACAAATATACAGGTGCTTAGACTGTGATAATGACGTAACAATTGGTAGCAAGAAAAAAAAAACATAAAGTGTTTAATTATTTCACTTGAGTTTTCCGAGCCATATTAAATCGCTACACAGGTCGCCTGTGTAGACATCACAAACCTCCAACTCATCAATTCTGCTTTTATATTCCTTCTCCATATTCTCCATTTCAATTTCTACAGATTCCAAATCTTTTTTCAACTTATTTTCATTTTCCTTCGCAGATTTTTCCACTGCTGACAACTTTCTCTGGTCAGAGGTGATCCTACGTATTTCATCTTCCTTGTCCTTTGTGGAAAGTTGAAAAAAAAATGAAAAAAATTGGAATTATCTCCGTTGAATTGGAAATTATTTTTTTAGAGAGCACTCACTGGTTCAAATCCCATCATTTTTTATGGAAATTTTTTGACACATTTCTCCAAACAAGTAAGATGATATAGTAAAGGTTGAAATACTTTTAGAAAGACTTGCCTGGAAGGATGGGATTTTCATTTTTATCCTGAAAAAGGAAAATTTATAAGATGGCTTGACTAACACAGACAGTCCCCAAACTCGCAATAGAACTAAAATAAGGAAAATCACTATAAAGGTATGGCCTAATCCTAGCCTGGTACACATATTACGGGAATACCAAATACCCTTCTGTATATATTTATCTCCCATAGGATTCAACAACATTAAAATATGGGAAATGATCATGTAAACAATGTCTCTTAAGCTTAAAAATATTTCAATTTCAAGATTTCACTATTTTACTTTCAATTCGCTTTCCAATGTTCGTTTGTCTGATCTGAGTTGAGTGATCTCATGTCTCATCTCAGATATCTTTGAGCTTTTACTTCTGTGAGAATCCAACTCTTCCTCAAGATCAGCACACTGCAAAGGACAAAAATGTCGAATAAAAAATCACTCGAATACAATATAAAGACCCTTGATGTTTGTATACTTTAAAAATGATTTCCATAGAAATATATTACCCCAATTACTCCATTTCAAATTTTACAACTGAATATTTTTTCAGAATGTATAAAGGGTAGTAAGATATTCCATATAACCATCTCAGTAAATAGTAGGCTTCTTCGAGTTAATTAGGAACATAGTCGACAAGTAGATAAATTCGAAAAGTTATCCTTTTGTCCGGATTTAGTATTTTTTTTTTCCTACTGGACCAATCACTCCAAATTTTTTGTATTCAAAGATAGAAGTGTCTTCTAGAACGGTGTTAGTTGTAAGTATTCTCAAATTTTCTGTGGGCTGTTCGCGGCCCGCTATTCTACACTATTATTTTACTGATACCAAAATACTGCACCGCCACAGGGGTCTTCCGAAAACATATCTGTGATTGCCGAACGAACTATAATGACTCTCGCACTCTAACACTCATATATTCGAATATCGGTCTATATGCAATGAGAGTATTTCCAAAAATCCCGTTTCACTGTATTTAATGTTTTGCGCCACCATTTTCCCTGATTAATTTGCCAAAAGTGTGCTCAACAAACCACATTTACACTGATGTATTTTAGTATCGACCTCAAAGCAAAATATTTCAAACCTTTTCTTCCATAGAGTTAAATTTTTTTGTCATTTGATCAAGTTCCCGAACAACGTTTTCATGTTTCTCTTTCAGTATTTTACTGCCCGATTCCGCCTTGGATTTGATTCGTTCTGATTTGCTTATTTCTTCCTATATATTGTATGAAACATAGAAAAACTTGGAAGGTCTTGTATATATTGAGAAACTATAGAATGTTTATTGAATGATTTAAATATTGAAGAAAAATGAATTCAATTCAATTTATTTGCCCAATTTTCATGATAAAATTCTCACTTTTGATAAATTTAACAGGATCAAATCCTGATTTTTCTTCAAATTTGATATATTTATATAAATCGAAAACAATACATAACAAAAAAAGATTTTAAAACACTAAACTTTGCTGAAATAGACTTCTCTAATGTTTATCTCAACTACCACAGAACAAAATCAATTACTATAAATGAATATAAAATAAATTGCGCTTTTGCTATGGACATTTATGTGTAAAGTAACACGAACAAAACAAGCTAATTTATAGCACTGATGGAATGTTCAATCATTTTAAAACTATTCCTTGTTATTCAGTTTTTTATGTCATAATTTTGAAAATTTTCGGAACCTCTGGCTCAATCAGATTTGCCAAGTTGTACATTTTACATTTCAGAATACAACTCACATTCAACTCATTAATTTCCTCCTGAGCATTTCTTTTCTCTCGTTTAACTGTTGCCAGTTTTTCAGTTAATTCCTCCATATCTTTCCCATTCATTTCCTGAGCTTCCAGAAGCTGTTTTTGTAGCTCATTCTATTGATGAAAATAAAAAACGTAGAATGACTAACCATGTTAAAAGTAAGTACTTTACAATTTATTTTGTGCTCTATTTTCAGGCTTTTTTTTTCAAATATTTGAATGGATTTTTTTGAACCAAACAGTAATTTTACCTAGTTTTATCTAGAAAAAAATTTAAAACTTTTGCAAGAATCATGGGCATATAAAACATACCCAACAAAAGTTCAATTTCTAATTTAAAAACCTCATCAATGAGAAATCCGCATTCATGTCAATATCTAAAACGAAAATATCGGTCAGAGACGAAGACTTATCGATCGAAAGTTAGGGGATCCCCCAAAACAGCACTCTTACTCCATAGTGACACCTTGTGTCCCCTAACTAATCAATTAATAACTCGCTAATTATACGACATGATTCGCCCAAAATCAATAGGGTTCTGATCCGAGATATGATGAATGTACATGCAAAATCTGGAGCAGATTCAATCTCGCTTTTGTGAGATATTGCATGCATCTAACAGACAGACAGACAGACAAATACACATCAACATACTTAACGATTAAAATCGATAAGTAATGACGGAAATATGCTCATTGAAAGATTTTTTAAAAATGTCCGTAGAGTTTGATTTCCGTTTCAGATCGGCATTGCCCACCCAATTATCACACACTGGGTGTGAAGGGGGTGGGAATGGAATTTGAACCTGATAAGTGTAATCTGTGATGTCAACACAATTGAACTGCTGAGTCATAATGACGACTATTATTAAATAAAAACTCCGCTAAAAATCGCCGCTCCAGAAGTTTGTGTACCAATATGGAGGTAATTAATTTTGTTCGCCTACTTTACATCGAGTTGTGTAAAGGGACAGAAACCAATGGGCAGGGGTTATATTCAGTTGGCTAAAACAGTCAGTCATCACACTCGGGATAGAATCAAAGGTAGAAAAATCGGGATAAAATTATGGCCTAACCCTAACCTGGTACATATACGGGAAAAAACATATACATATATGGGTGTACACAAGACCTGACAACACTCACCATTTTTTTATTCTTGATAAGAATCTCCTGTTGAAGGGAAGAAACTTTTTCTTCAGATAATTTCAACTTCAACGTATTGTCATTCCCTACTGTTTTAGCTGACTCTTGAGAACTTTTGAGTTGCAATTCAAGCCGCTAAAAAAGGGAAATAATAATTATTGAGTTGGAAGAAGTCGAAAAGTGAAAATGATAAATATTTTGGAAAATTTTTAAGTCAATATCGCCAGGGGATTCAAGAAGATATTGAAGCAAAGATGTGAGTGTATGTAGAATATTTAAAAATGAGTATTTATATTATATCAGTGGTGGACAGTGGGTCATGTAGAAGTCTCTAAAACCAAGGACAATTACAGATAATAGACTTGGTAACTGGGCCGGAGGCGCAAAACTCAATATGAAAAACTATGAATAAAAACATTTACAACAGCTAGTCTACAATTGTATAATAATAAGAAGCACAATGTAACAATTGGAGTCATTATGACGTTAGTTTCATCGATATTTTCAACGGAAATTTAAATCCATAATAAGTGTAGTCGTGATTACAGCAGACACGAGTGGGCCAGATGAAACACTACAGTAGGCCAGATCTGGCCTGAATTTGCCCACCCCTAACCTAAACAAAGGTCACAAGTGAAGATATGGGCCATCCGATGACTGGTCGACTACGAGTCTTTGAAACTGACAACTTAGTCTAACTCAAGCTTCAACACAATCCACATATGAATTGAATTTTAATGAGGAAATCTTACTTTGATATCATTGATCAATTTATTATTCTTTATTCTCTCTCCTTCAATCTCGGTTTTCTCATTTTCAAGTTTCCTTTTAATGTCTTCTTGTACTTTCCGAGATATGCATGACTGAGCAGCAGAATGTTTTTCTTTTTCTTTAAATTCTTTCTTTAATTTGTCCATTTCCTGTGCGTTGGAACAGTAAATAAAAAAAATAAAATTTGCTGTATCATCAATAAACATGGATTACGGTATATAGAATTTTCATATATCTCTAGGGGGTGGAAAACCGATGAAACGACTTAATCATATTGCGAACCACGGACTCTCGTCAGGCGACCAGTTTATATTGAGTATGAGAATATTCGGACAACTATTTTTTCTAGTTAAATAGACTCTATATATAAAATGCAGATTTTCATTGTTTTCAAATTCGCTTGTTGCTATTTTTATTAAATTTTGGATGAGGTAAATATTTCTAGGCTGATACAGCTAAACCAGCAAAGCTATACTAATGAAATGATTCAAATCAAAAACCAAACTCAATGTAAAGTCAAACTTTTTTATCACCTTAATCTTATTATTATTATTATATTATTAGATTTTTGCCTGTTTGGTGCCAAGAAATAATTTTTGTATTTCGTTTTTTTTTTATTAATCAAAGACAAGCGTTTTTTTGCGTCAAAATCTTTCTCGTTTTATTATAATTGCGCTTGCCCTTAAAGAACCCATAAACAAACATTCATACCTGTTTGCAAGACTCCTCAATATTTTCCATTTCTCTGCTCATCCCTTGTTTCAAAGATTCTAATTCTCCCTAAATGAGAAAAAATAAATAAATCAAAAACTATTGTTACCAAGCATTCAAAACAAATTTCTACATAAAACTTTTTTTTTGACACAACAGTTTTTTTCAACTAGTAATCGCATGAATACCATTGTTGAGTGATTTCCTAATTTTTTGATTACTTTTATCCGTCTATACATATTCCAATAAACTTTTGATGAATTGAATACAAAAAAACGGTGCTCCTGAAGTATTCGTACAAAGATGTCAAACAACCTGAACATAGTATATGTTCCAGGTTAGGGTGTTCAGGTTGTGCGTCATCTTGGTATGAATACTTCCAGAGCGCCCAAAAAACAATGAAATGATACATATTCATACATTTGATGAACACGATGAATACAAAAAAACAAACAGTTACGACAAATGAATATATGATAATTCACATTTTTACTTTGGACATTTGAGTGTAAACAAGCTAATTTACATCATATATTATAAACTTTTCCTTGTTATAATAAATGTTTAATAAAGCTCTTTCCAATGCCCAGAGGCATAGCCAGGGCCCAAATTTCAGAAGCCCCCCCCCCCCCCATTTTTGAATATTTCTGGCTACTCCCCATGTCTCCCCTGCCAATGCCCCATGTCGTGCGATCGAAAAGTTTTGTAACCTCTGGCTAATCAAATTTACAAAGTTTTACATTTCACTCAGAATACAACTCACATTCAACTCATTAATTTTCTCTTGAGCGTTTCTTTTCTCTCGTTTGACTGTTGCCAGTTTTTCTGTTAATTCCTCCATATCTTTCCCATTCATTTCCTGAGCTTCCAGAAGCTGTTTTTGTAGCTCATTCTATTGATAAAAACATAAATGTAATGAAATGAAAATAAAAGCAGTTGAGTATCTGTCTTAGTTATTATTTGAATGAAATGTTTTGAATCAAAATGAAAAAATAGAAATCACCATGAAATACCCAATTAAACAAAAATCGATATCTAATGAATCCGATACGCCCAAAATATTTTTAGGTTGTCTGTTTCTTCAACAAAATCCTGAAGTTACTGATTCTATTTTCAAATGAATTTTTTTTTGATACTGGAGCCCATCACGACGTAAAACATGAATACCTGGTGGCATCTATATTGCTAATTGTAGCCATTCCACGATTTCGAAAACAAGCGCAGCTTTTGCCCAAGATTGAAAATTTTTGTTGTATGAAAATGATCATTTAATATTCGTAATCTATTTAATTTTGCGTTCATAAAATCACTACATGACATTTAGTATTTGGGCATATATTTGTGTCTCTGGATTTCATAAAATTAAATTTTTAAAAAATTTGGGTCGCTTGGAAAAAAGATTGGGAACCACTGCTCTATTGTTTCACGTGACTCTTTTGTCAGTAATGTTTCTTCTATTGTAACTGTAAGTAATGATATATAGCAGCTATTTTCAAATATAGTTATTTTGCTGTGTTTTAGAAGATTTGAGTACATTTGCTCAATTATAGTGCGTCATGGTAATTTTTAGTTAGTTTTATTGTGTTTTACTGAAAATATTTTAGGTTCCTTGAACTATATAAAAACCTGGCAACACTCACCACTTTTTTATTCTTGATAAGGATCTCCTGTTGAAGTGAAGAAACTTTTTCTTCAGATAATTTCAACTTCAACGTGTTGTCATTCTCTACTGTTTTAGCTGAATCTTGAGAACTTTTGAGTTGCAATTCAAGCCGCTGAAAAGGGGAAATGATATTTATGAAGAACTAGAACGCAAAATAAAAAATTGAGTTTGGCAGGCTATATTGTATCGCTACGGATCATGCGCCACAGTTTGGGAACCGCAGCCCTAAACCAAGCAAGGCAAGCTATGGGACATCCAAGTAATTTCATTTAGATGACTGGTCGACTACGAGACTTTGAAACTGGCAACTCAAGCGTCAGCACAATCTACATACGAGTCGAATTTCGTTGAAGAAATCTTACCTTGACATCATTGTTCAATTTATTATTCTTTATTCTCTCTCCCTCAATCTCAGATTTCTCATTTTCAAGTTTCCTTTTCATGTCTTCTTGTACTTTCCGAGATATGCATGACTGAGCAGCAGAATGTTTTTCTTTTTCTTTGAATTCTTTTTTCAATTTGTCCATTTCCTAAACGTTGAAACAGTGAATAAATAAAATACATGAAAAATCTCTGTATCATCAATAAACATAATTTATAATAAAAATAAATTTCGCCAAAGGAGAAAAAAACGATGAAATGGCTTATTCATATTGGGAGCCACACACTCCCGTCCATATGGGATATGGAAATAATTAGCCACTTATTTTTTTCCAAACAAATAAGATTCAGATTTCCATCATTTTCAAATTTGCTTGTTGCTATTTTCATCAAATTTTAGATAAGATAAATATTTCTAGGGTGATACAGCCAAACCAGCGCCTGAATCTATTTTATTACAATAATTTTATTCTAAATATTTGCGAACATTCATACCTGTTTGCAAGTATCTTTTATATTTTCCATTTCTCTACTCATCCCTCGTTTTAGAGATTCTAATTCTTCCTAAAAGTAAGAAAAATGATTGAATCGAATATCAATCAAGTTGTCTGTCAATCATTTCATCTGTCTATACATATCCCAATCAACTTTTTATACATTTGATGAAAACAATAAATACCAAAAAATACTGGACCAACAATGCAATCTATCAGTTATAATCATTGAGAGATCTTTGTATTTCTGATTCATGAACAATATTTTCCCAATTCCCAGCATACCCAATCACTCGACGACAAATCAAATTACTGCCTAACTGATACAAAAATGACTTATCTTTAGTTATATAAGTTGTCCATAAAGTTTACAATTTCAATTTTGTTATGAAGTCAGATCTCAATATATTTTAATCAGTTTTTTTTTTTCAATCAGTAATTGTTTAAGTATTTTTACTTCATCTAATACATCTGTGAGGGCCAAAACAATATATGGTATCGAGAAATTCCCTTCGCAATTTTAAAATTTTTTAATACTTTATATATTCATAAATCCCACCGTAATTTCAATATTCTTATTCAAAGCATTTCTTTTATCATTCTTCAGAACTACAATATTGTTTTTTAAATCTTGTAGTTCGCCGGTGTTGGAATCATGAACTTCATAAAGTTCTTGTTGAAGTTCTTCCTGATAAAGATAAGACAACACATCATCAGAAAGCAAAGAAATTTTTCAATTTGGTGATTGGTCATCGAAAAACTGTTATACAAATTTTGGTACTCCAGTAGTATAGGTACCAGGTTAGGGTTAGGCCATAATTTTATTCCAATTTACTTTATTTTAGTTCTATTACGAGATTGGGGACTGTCTGTGTTAGTCAAGTGAATATACTCCCAGTCCCAGCCAATATATTTCAGTCCCTTTACACAAATTGATGTGAAAAATAGGCGAACAAAATTAGTTACCTCCATATTGGTACACACACTTCTGACGTGCCCAAATTTCTGCGTAATATATTTTAATTGGTATATCTATGATTTTCCAGAGGTGCCGGCCATAATTTATTGAATTTGAAAATGCGAAACTTTAATCGTAAACTCTAAACTTTTATTAGGTTTCCTCAACTACACTGCATGGTGGTATTCTAATTTTCAATTCAAAATGTTTCCTTTGCAATATTTAAATATAAATCCAAAGCAATGTCCGCGAGCTCGCACCTGGTTAATGTCAGTGTAGGTACCTACATGCCAACATGTTTCCCAAGAATTTCATATATGCAAAATTTATCATTTCGAAGCTGTCTTTATGATCGCCCTGACCTGAACTACCGCTGTTGAGCTCGGCATCGGGTCAATCAATATTTACAAATATTTTGAGTGACTTTGCATGTTTTTTGAGCATGATTATTTAAAAACAAATGAGAAATAAAAATTCAACTTACTATTTTACTAGACTTTGCGTTGACATCTTTTTTCAGAACTGATATTTGTTCTTCGTAACTTTTCAATTTCACAGTTTTCTCTTCTTCAAAATGCTTCAGGTTTTCAGATGAACTTTTGACCTTCAGTTCTAGCCTCTGTAAGAATGATAAAATCAATCATATAAAACTTCGGGTGGAGTGTATCTGGCCTGCCTGTATTAAAGGTTGCACACCCCTGGTTTAGAGTGAAAGGTTCGAAATGACAAATATTGGAAATTTGAAAAATTTTCGCACCAGAATTTGATTATTTAGTTCTTTATTCTTCGATACTTCATTCTGTAATTGCTGTTTGATTTCGTCTGTTTCTGTTTTCAAATCTTTGTGAATTCTTTTATTGATGTTCGATTGAGCTCCGAGTTGTTTCTCTCTATCTTCCAGTTGTTGTTGTAGTGTCTTCAGCTCCTGAAGAAACATGAGAAAATGAAAACAAGAATAGAGATCAATTAAGCACGATTATTGTGTGTGAAAAATATACAAAACTGGTAAAGTTTTGTTGACCGATAATGACACAAATGACATAATCACTCATAATAAATTAAAAATGTATAAGTTCGCAGGTTAGCATCTGTAAGATATACTCAAGCATAAAAAGTACAAACAATAGTCTTCAATCTAGAATCATTGATAAAAAAGTTATTTTCTTTAAATTCAAAGGGTGATTCCTGAACCAGAAGTTCAGGGGGTCAGTGGCTCCCCAAGGGGGCCGCAGAGCAGTTTGAGGGGAGCCACAATGCCAGGCGCAAAACTGATTTTACCTTTCCCTTGACAATAAAAACCCGTTTTTCCTAGTTTTATTGCTTGATAAGGTTATTTCACAGAGTGTATTCACTTTGTTGAACATGAACTGTTTGAACATAATGGGATTTGAAACACACCAATCAAAATAACACTATAAATACCATTGGAATGATAAACTAGGGGATCATGAGTGCTAAAAGGTTGGGAACCACTGGCCTAGACTTTGATTGGGAGTAAACAGCTACGGGACAAGCTCAATAAGGGAAGATATTCAAACCTTCTGATGTTTTTCATTAATTTTTCTTGCGTCATCATCCAATTTAGTAAGTTTATTTTCCAAAGCTTGAACTTGGATCTTTGATTTCAATGAACTTGATGAGTTTGCTTTATCAGACTCTGTTAGTTTTGTTGAGAGTTCCTGAAAGGACAAAAATTTTTAAAAATGAATGATTATCATTACAAAAATATTGGAAATTGGGATCAAAGAAGAGATCCTAAACATACAATGCCAGTATAGTTAGGTATAATACTTCAATCCAATGCTGAGGGTGCATGACGTCCCCCGGGTGCCCACAGCAAAATTTCCTGGGTCCATGAGCATTCCATACATAACAATACACACAAAATAATAAAATTAAAGTACCTGTCATTGTTGACTATTTATATGTATAAGATAACAAATTACAGACAACTCTAGAACTTAGGCATAGCATAAAATTTCGCTCGTATGAAATAATAGTCTTTTACTTCAAAAATTAAGTTTATCAATCGGTTTTATTCAAATTCAAGGTAAATATTAAATAGGTCTTCAAGGCTTAGCGGGTCGGGTGCGGCCCGACTGTTGGACACCCGTGCAAGGTGCAAATGTGCAACCAAACCTGAATCTTTTTTTCCAGGTCTCTCTTGTCAGATCTCATCATATTATTTTTAGTTTCAAGATTCCTAAATTTTTCAGTCCATTCACCCTTGCTTGACGTCAATTCTTCCTTCATTCTGTCTAAATTTGATTGGTATTCTTCCTCTCTCAGACTCTAATTAAGAAAAGTAATTTAAAATTCAAGAACTTAGTCATAAAAGTCATCGACTGGAGATCAGTGTTAGGGAGGCCCGAGTTATAACCTCGACATTAGTTTAATTCGAGTTGCCATTTACTAAGGGCTCGTTGGTAACGAGCGACTTGGACTCGTTTTTAACTAACCTCAAGAAGACTTGACTTGGTGTTAATAAGCTATATGACATGTTGGACTTGTTTCAAGAAAAAAAAGAGAAGTTTTAATAACACAACTTTTAACAAAATTACCATTAATTTTTTGTTTCCATCCTTAATCTCATGTAGAAGTCTCGCAGATGTTGAAGCATTTTTATCGTGAGCTGATTTCAGCACAGAAACCTGAAATTCAAAAATTTTTTTTTTTAAGTTGTGTGAAAGTTTCATTAAATTTGCAAGCATTTTAATGGAACACAAAGGTGAATATCTTAACTCATAATATTTCTCTTAATATATATATATATGTATTAATATATTTATGTTCAAATTTTCATTTATAAGCAGCGGCATGAATATATCACATTTCCATTTATTTGCTTTCGGAAGCATGGACTTGATGGTAGAGGAAACCGTAACTGACCAGCGGTTATGATAAAGAGTGAAGCAAAATCCTCTCGCACATAACTATCCCACTCAGCAAACCCACTAAGGGTAATCAGAGTTGGTGCGGTGGCGAGAGTGTTCACATGATGCTCGACACTGCCGAGCCACACAGATATTGCTAGGCCAGGCAGACGATTGGAATATTTCACTATCAGACTGTACACACAAACAATAATACGATTTACAGATAATTATAACTTCATATATGACAAAAATTAGTTGAAGAACCATTATAACATGGATTTCTATGTACGATTCTTATTTAACGATTACAGCAATCAATTTGAAATTGGCAATATCACACCTGCTGTTTCAAACTTTTATTCTCCGTTATGTAAACTGCCATGTCTCGTTCAAAAGTATTCTTTACAGCTTCAACCTAAAATATTATTAAATAATTTTGAAGTTGTGGATAATAGTGCAAGATAAAGATACAGAAATGAAAAATATGATTAGGTAAAGAAACTTGTCCATACGCCAGTACAGCAGTACGCCAAAAGGCCTTTTAATCAAATTTCAGTACGGTTCCGTACAGTTCTCAAATTCCAAAAATAGCACCAACATCAGAAGACATAAATTATAACAGTGCGTGTAAACCCCTTCTTTACGAGACAGTCTGGGCCTCCATATCGGTGCAAATCGGCAACCCGGAACTGCGCAACAAGTACTGGTACTGAAGTAAAAGAAAGCGATGTCATTGGATTTCTCGGGAAAAAAAATAATCTGATTCAACAAAGGGAAAATTTTTTACCCTAGTGTTCCAGAGATTTTAGCAAAAAAACCAATTTTGGTATCTGTCTGTCCCAGACTGGATTCCATGGCAGGTGCACGCCCGAGGGCGCTAGCGCTACGCAAAAATGCACGCGAGCGAAATCAATTTTGCACGCCGAAAATTTGCAATTGCTCACCAATGTAAATCGGTTTAAATGGTTTTAAAATCAATAATCCAGTAATATAAAGATGCCAAAATATTATACCTCCACAATTGTCGACAAATACCAGCTTGCAAGATTTGGTCTGATCGAAATATTGCGAAGCAAAAATACCATAGACCTTTCCCCAACCTTTGACCCGCGAAATATTCCTCTCATTGTTTCATCCTTTTTTGCATCTTGCTGATTGGCCAATGTCACGAAGTAAACAAGAAAGTCGATGCTCGGGGAAAGGTCCATATCGTGTTGAATGATAGGAAATAGGAATCCCGTGAGAATAGTTATGGACGAAAAGATCGCCTCCGCACCAATGGCCAAGTACGGCTCTGATTCAGCGTATTTTTCATACAATAATTTTACACGAATGTACTGAACAGTACCGGTATCTAAAGTTGCTCAAACACTCCCAAAATTAGTGACAAAGTATAAAAATAATGTTTGGGGTCGAAAGTCAATCGTCCATTTTGCTCTAATTTGACGTATTTTTTATCCATTAATTCTACGTAAAAACACTACCAAAATTAATGACAAAGTATGTCCATTTTGCTCTGGTTCAACGTATTTTTTATCCAATAATTTTACGCGGATGTACTGAACAGTACCGGTATCCAAAGTCGCACAAACACTCTCAAAATTAGCGACAAACTGTAGAAATAATGTTTGGGGTCAAAGGTCAAACGTCCATTTTTTCTCTGATTCAACGTATTTTTTATCCGATACCGGTAATTTTACGCGGATGTATTGAGAGGTAACTGATGTCAAAGTCAGTTGCACGCGAGTGCAGTTGTTTTGCACGTCGTGAGCTATAATTGCACGCCAGGAATTCTTATTTGCACGCGGGAATTTCTGATTGCACGCCCGATTTCTCGTTCAAAAAGGCCATGAAATCCAGACTGGTGTCTGTCTGTACCGTTGCAGGTTTGACTATTACTGTAATCTCAATCTAAATATTATTAGAATTTATTTAGCCACACCTGCTTTAGATTAGCTCTCAAATCCTTAATTTCTTCTTGCATTGCAGCAGTTCTTTTGACATATTCGTCATTTTGTGATTCCAATGTTGACGATTTCGCCGCCGAGTTTTGCAACTCCAAAATACGGGAAACAAATTCTCGATTTTCCATTATTGCAAAGTAAAACTCTTCTTATTGAAAGTTTATAGTAACTCGCTCATTTTCCTCATATTCAGCAACAATATACTACAATAAAACGTGCTATCAAAACAAAAAACTGGCCGCTGACTAGACTATATTTCGAAGGTTCGCGCTACAAAGTAAAGAAAATTTCTTGTCGCTACAGCGATTTTTCGCTTCAGTAATTTTTCGAAATATCGGAGTTCCGGCTTTCTGAAGAGGCGAAATTTTGCATGTTTCCGAATCCGGCGTCATTACATATTGTGACTATAAAATGTGATGTTTTTATTACTAAAAATTCAGCGACAGTTGTGGACTGTCTTCGAGTTCAAATTCAAACGCAATGTGATTTTGGAAAAAAAATGGCGACCCGCTTATGCGTCGGTAATTTACCAGGATAGGATAGGATTTACATATTCATCCCGGAGGAGAGGAAAGTCGATAAGACGGCTTATCCATATGGCGAACCACGGCCTCTCGTCCGGTTACAATTCCATGTCGGGTATGGGATTAGTTAGTTACTTTTGTTTCGGAAGCATGGACTTGATGGTGGAGAAAGCCGTAACTGACCAGAGTTTACGTGAACCACCCTACGACGGCGAGGAGTCCACCAATCCTCTCGCACATTACCATCCCGCATGGGATTCGAACCTGCGAACCCACGCAGAGTAATTAGAGGTGCGGTGGCGAGCGTATTCCTAACGCTTAGCACGATGAGCCACACCGCCGCGCCATGAGCCACACCGCCACGCCAAATACGTCAGAAATACCTGATATGTCATAATTTAACTTTGAGCTTGAATGCTGCTATATGAGACAAGCAGGGAGAGGCCAGAAAACATAGAGAAGTTGTAGGACGCACTAAAAATAATCAAATCTACGTCAATCGAGGCTGAGCGTGCATTTTCATCTTTTTTTGGCAGGAAAATCAGAAATCGATTTAATTAATGATGACATTCGATGCTATCATGTTTTTGCGTCAGTTGTATAAGAAATAAACATGCTTATAATGTGTGTGTGTGTGTGTGTGTGTGTGTGATTCTTAACTCTATTAATCCCGGAATTAGATGTTGAAAATGCCGAGCCCGGGATTTCAGATCTGGTCCCGAAATAGCAACCCTATTCGGCCGCAAGCGCTGACACAATGCTCGATAACCTTCCGTGTTCCCCGCCGGTTCCACACTTGAAGCTGTTGTAACAATGCGTTATCCAAAAAGAAAAAAAACTTGATAGTAAAATTTTCTTTATTTCAATTTATCCTGGAGTTGAGCATTTAATCATTTCAATGTGTAATATTAAGGATCACATTTTTATTTGCCTGTCATTTATTTATGCAGTACGAGTTTAGGTTTACAAAAGTTCGGATTTTAAAAATTTCTTCTTCCTGTAGCTTATCAATATCTGACTAAGCTTAGTTTTGTGAGACACAGAGTTATATTGATTAAATATCATTTGCTCCATGGTTCGAGTAGACATATCAAAACGAAGAAGATATTTAAAAAAGCTATAGTCGGTAGTCCAAGTTCAAGAAAACGTGATCGCATACGATAGTGTTGGTTGGCAAGGCGGCAGTATAAATTAATTTTTAGTCGACGATGAATAGAAAAATCTTTACGTGTAACTTCCTGTTCAATTCAGTGGTAATATAACCAAAATACTGTTGAAATTGTAACTGAAAGAATTTTAAGGATGCCTACAGTCGCCAAACAATGACAGACATTGCAAGTGTTATTCAATACATTAAAGAAAACCAAATTCTGCGACGACTTTTAATTGACACGTCCTTGAATAAGATTAGCTGTTAAAAAACTGAAAAGAAATTAGTCGAATTAACACGAATATCCCCTACTTCTCACGTTGTGCATACGAAGTCATTTTGCTTTGAATAATGGAGCCAAGCCAAGAGGGGTTAGGTATTTGAGACTTTTAAGTCGTCATACATAATCAAACTCGGCCACCATCGATTTAAATATCGCAAAACGCTGAACCCGGGGAACCGTTTTTTTTTTTTTGTGAAGCGTGCAGCATGACAGGTCTAACCTCATTTGTTAAAACACAATAAGCTAACTTATAAGTATTTGATGCCACAATACTTTATTGAAATCAGAAACTTAAATGGAAGGAAATTATGACGTAATAAAACGGCACGGCTAAACGAGATAAACAACGCAAACACTCAGCACGTTTAACTTATCCATTTAAGCTAGGGCTGCATTGAGCAAATAAGTTTACTAGATTAGAAATAAATATTTCATCACTGGTAGGTTTTAAAGCAATTTGCTTCACAGTTGAGCTAATTTCGGGGTCAATGGAATCAAAAGCCGAATCGTGTCGTTAGTTAAATGTTATTCTATCTTAGTCCCTATGCTATTCTATCTTAGGTGGTAACCGACATTAGATTTAGCTTACCATTACGAATTTCGACGAGGAAATTTAGTTATAATGCAATTGTTAATTTTGAATTACTGCTTGCTTCGTCAGTAGAAATTTATGCTTATAACCTACATTTATATTTTATTCATAATTTGCAAGTACGGGTGACAACTGCTGACTTGAATTAATATGTATTTGTAGTTGCAATAAAACATCACTGCATTTATACTATTTGTACACAATTGAGCGTAGAGGATTTAATTTCAAATGCATTATTCAACTAAGTACGGTAGATGAAATGGCGTATAGCATGCGGTTAATATTGATACATTACAGACTGATGGACATTGTTCAGTACTGAGTCGTAATAACTTGTCAACAAAGAGAAAAGTATTCGGGCCATTTATTTATAGGTAGTGTAGCATAGCTTGGTGCACACTAACACAAATGTGCATTCTCTCTTAGTGTGCAGCAAGACTTTTGAATCAAATAATAATTTATAATATATGATAAACAGTTGGTACTCAAAACTTTCAAAGTAATGTTACTAAAATTAATACCAATTGGCGCGAATTGGCGGTACTATTGCTATTGGGTACGGGTAAAAAGATATTTTTCAAAGCCCTATTTGCTTGGTCAAATGCGTCGATATAATATTGAAAAGTACCATAAAGTAGAAATATAAATATAGCTATATTCGACAAATAGCGTATGTAAATAACAGTTGATAAAAGACTTCATTAATTAAGAATTTGACGTCAGTATTGCAAGATGAATAGTTCGACGGAAGCGAATTGGAGTAAAAGAAAGTTCTCGGGAAATTTATCAGCATGGCATGACTCGGGGAACAGTACGTCGAAACGTAGTTATGTAGACTGTCGGGACGCTATTTATTGTCTTGAGTAATTGCACTTAGTTTTGCATCATTTTTTCGTATGACTTTATAGTAAACAGTCTTGAGATGACTATATGAAATCCTTTTTTTTCAATTCATCGAATAAAAAGTAGTGCATTTTTGTTTGTAGCAATGTATAAAGTGAATGAAAATTGATGAGTTTTAATCATCTTTAATTAAAGGCAGCATCGGTAAAGTCTATGGCTTATATACGCCACGCACTGACACTAAATTAACGAAGTCAGAGAGAAGCTAATGTTCCTGAATTTCACAGTATGTAATTCATTTCTTCTCAAGATGCTGGGTAATTTGAAGAATTTATTGGCTGCATATTCTTAGTTGAATAATCACGGAGAGTTTGGTTATTTATCATGAGCAAAATCGGCCTTTCGAAGCTGCGATTCATATTCTCTACGCTGCTCAATATATTGACCAGGTTAAAATGACAGAAAATCTTGTTTTTCGTAACTTTAAATGAGTCCTATCAAAGGTTCCCATAATTCAACCTCAAACCAATGATCTTCTTTTCATTGGAAAACAGTTCTGACCAGTGGCGTGCCTAGAGGGCGGCAAAAGGGGCAACGAGATTGGCACGCTCCTGCTGGTTCTGACCCATGGATGACCGTGGCCAGCTGTTTTATGTCTCCAAGCTTGACTTTTTGACCGTCTTGATCTTAAAATAACCTGTGACTGTAACTGGACGTGACGTGAGACAGTGGTCTCAAGAGAAAGAGAATTGCGGGATGCGGAAGCAGGTGGGATAAGAGTTTAGCGTTGAAAGAATAAAATCAAATGTACAAATCATATATATCCTGTTATTTTATAGCTAATTTGTTGATCTGTTTTCCTGATATTGTTTATCTTGTCCCACTTTCTAACTTATCTTAGCCTAAGATAAACAGAATCAGACAAAATAGCTTAGAAAATAAGCAGTGGGATAATAATTTGATATTACCGGATCAAATGCTGCGTCACTAATTAATTAACTATGACATGAAGGAGAAACTATTGTTGATGCTTGGCAGAATATATGCAAATTAGTCGACAGTCTTTCACAGTATTTTTGGTGAAAATATTCTTTTGTATTCGGTTTAGTTTTCATTGCGCAAAAACCAGACAGCGACGTGCGTTTAACAAACACGTCGTCCATAAAAAAAATATATATAATGTAAACAGTTTTTTATTGCATAGTGAGGAAGAATTAGAAAGTTTTAAAATGAACAGAGGGAATACATCGAAATAGGTAGACAGAAGATTTCCGAGCAGCAACTTACTTGCCTTTATTTGTCATAATGGACAATCGGCAGTTAGTTAACAATGATGTAACAATAGGAATTTGTGCGGCCGATAAGGTAGATGGTTGTAAACATTGACTCGTTTTCGTGGATTTGATAGTTTTTAGTTGTGTTTTCAAAATTCTGGTATGCAATAAATAAAGCGATGCACATTTTCTAGTTTATTGTAGAAATCAAAATTTAATCGCAAAAGAAACGATAGACTGAAGTATAAAATAAGCTGATTTGTGAGCTCTACCCACCCAATGAGCATATATACAATGAGTGGAAACTTGCAAAGATTTGCTCATTTTGGTATTGTTCCCTGCATTTTTTACGTCGTCCGGCTAAATGGTTCGTTGCATATTAAGAAAACACATTGCTCGCTGCCAAAATCCCTTGCTTCAGCCGAGTCGGGTGCGAAATTGGCCGTATTGAGGTCTTTAATTCTTCAATACATATTTGGTTTTGGGTTTCGAAGTATGGTACGCTGGAAGCATACAACTATGAGCATATGCTTATTGGGAATGCATATCTATTAGACAGAAAACGTAGCTACAGTACAGAATATGAACCAGTCGCCCAGTGGGGTGCGGTTATTTATGTATTTATTAGGATAAGGATAAGGATTTACATATTTATCCCGGGGGAAAGGAAAGCCGATAAGATGACTTATCCATATGGCGAACCACGGCCTCTCGTCCGGTTACCATTCCAAGTCGGGTATGGGATTAGTTATATTCTTTGTTTTCGGATGCATGGACTTGGTGGTGGAGGAAGCCGTAACCGACCAGCGGTTACGTGAATCACCCAATGGCGGCGAGGAGTCCAGCAATCCTCTTGCACATAACCATCCCTGCATGGGATTCGAACCTGCGGACCCATGCAGAGTAATT